AAGAGTGAACAGGAGGCAATTTATGCAAGGGAGAGCTTAAACCATTACAAAATTCTCCAGTGGCCCTGTGATTCATTTTGTTTCCTGGTAGTTTCCATCTTCTAATTTTGACAGATGTGGTTTTCTGATTTTTTTTTCTTAAGAAGCTTACTGGATTTGCAAAGAAAGAACTAAAGGGATAAGGTTAAGGAATCGATTTAACATCAGCAGAGACAGATGCCTTATTGTAATTAAATTGAAACTCTAAGACCTTCGGTAGGCCAACTCCTTGCAGCCTAGGCCATTGCCTTATTTTACTTTTATGCAACCCATTTTCTCACTTAAAATTCATAACTGAAAAAGTACAACTTTTTTTGTTTCTTCTTTAGTGTTCATATTCATATGAATAGTTGGTCTGCAGAGATTGTTCAGTAAAGATGTCAGATGGATCTGCATTATTGATTCGTCTCTACAGTGTGGAAGTTGACACCCAGGGCACCATGACACGATTAAGTGCTAGTGAGGAGGCATATGATCTACTAGCTATTTCTGAAAATTGTGTGCCCCCAAATAACTTCACTGTTGGCCTGAATGGTGGACAAATTCTACATTAGTACTTCATTCCTTCGAGTCAAAATATCACTTCAAGAAATCCCCACTTAATGTCTTGCTTACTCTTTCTTAGCTATCAAAATTTCATCGTGAATTTAAAGATTAGCAGTCATCGAAATTAATCTCAGGATGACAAGGGGCATAGAATTTTAATAAAGAGGATGTATAAAGCACATATTTACCTACATTAGAATTTTCCAGACTAGTATTCAGGACAAGCACTTTTTTTTTTTTTGAAGAATATTAGTAAGCATTGTAGATTTCTTTAAAAGGAGGTCTGAAGTCAACGGAATTCAGCAAAAACTAAAAAGGCTTATTTTTATACTGAAGCCTTTAATATGTTAATAATCATTCAACAAATATTTATTGAACACTGACTATATGCCAAAAATAGTTATAAGTGTTTGGGATATCCCAGGCAACAAGACAGACAAGGATGGCTTCCTTGTAGAGTTTACATTCTAGCAGGATTAGGCAGACAATGAACAATAAACATAATAAGTAAAATATATAAAATGTGCTTAGTGGTGTATAAGGTAGATTAGTAACATAGGTTGTTGGAGGAAAGGGAGCATTCTGCATTTTTTAAAAGTGTGGTTAGGGTATGCGCCATTGAATAAAGCTTTAAATTTGTTAAAGGGGTTCGTCATATCAATACCTGGAATAAGAATGTGTCAGGCAATTGTGACGACCAGTGCAAAGACCCCGAGGTGGGATGCTTGGTATGTCCAAAAAACCACAAAGAGTCCAGTGTTTGTGGGACAGCTGGCTGGGGCCAGGGTAATAGTAGGAGAAGTCAGAGGGGCAAGGAGGAGGAGGGAGTTACAGTTATGTAGGGCTTTCCTAGCCATTGTAAAGACTTTTTAAATTGAGGAAAACAAGTAACCTTTGCAGAGTTTTGAGGAAAGAAGTAACTTGATTTGATTCATATTTTTAAAGGGTTTTTGGTTGCTGTGTTGAGAACTGACTGAAACTTGGCAAGGAAAGGAAAAAGGAGGCCAGTTAGGGCAGTGCTGCGATCAATCAAGCAAAAACCGGTGATGGCTGGGAGACCAATGTAGTGGCTGAGGTTGTGGTGAGAAGTACTTGGATCCTGGATATATTCTTAAAGTGGAATGGATTTGGAGTGTGAGAGAGAGAAGTTGAGAAAAGACAGTATTGTCATCAGTTGAGACAGGAAGGTTACGAAAAAGTAGGGTTAACCTTACTTTTCAACATGTCAAACTTGATATACTTAATAGACATCCAAGTCAAAATATTAAGCAGGTAGTTGGATAAATGTCTTAGTCCATTTGGGCTGCTATAACATGAAACTTCAAACTGGGTAGCTTATAAACAACAGGAATCTATTTCTTACAGTTCTGGAACCTGAAAGTCCAAGATCTGCGTGGCCAACATAGTCAGATGAGGGTTCTCTTCCAAGTTGCAGCCTTCTCATTGTATCGTACGTGGTGGAAAGAATGAGGTAGCTCTCAGGGATCTCTCTTTTTTAAAAATTAAGTTTATTGGGGTAACATTGGTTAATACAATTATATAATTTTCAAGTGTGCATTATAATTTGACGTCTGTATATTCTATTATATGTTTACCACCCAAAGTCCAGTTTCCTTCATCTACCACATATTTGATCCCCTTTACACACTTCACCCTCCCCCACTCCCCTTTATTTGACCCCCTTTACACCATTTACCTCCCTCCTCCCCTACCCTCTACTCTCTGGTAACCACTAGTCTATAGCCCATGTCCATGAGTCTCTGTTTGTCCTGTTTATTTGTTGCTTTTAGGTTTATATTGGGGTCTCTTTTATAAGGGCACTAACCTCACCTATGAGGACTCCATCCTCATGGTCTAATCATCTCCCAAAGCCTCACCTACTAAAATCATCATATTTGGGGGTAAGAATTTCAACATATGAATTTGGGGGGGCAGGACACAATTTGGGGAGAAGAGCCTGGACTAACAACATAAATTTGGGAGTGTTTAACATATGTTTGGTTTTTAAAGCCTTCAGACCTGTTGAGATTGCTAAAGGAGTGAGTTGATAGGAAAACAGACGAACAAACAAACAAAGTGAGTGCCGAAGTACTGAAGTACTGAAGGTTGGGCCACTCCAGTAGTATGAGACGTGATAGAAGAGGGGGTCAGATAATAAGAACAAAGAATAATGACAGGAGAGTACAGTATCCCAGAAAGCGGTGGAGAAAACGTTTCAGCTGAGAGGAAGAGATAAGGCGTGTCAGTGTTGCCAGCTGCTTGATCGAATGAGACAAGAGCTGAGACTAGACCATTGAGGGAACATCCTCCATGAAGCTGAAGGGCAAGAGCACTTTCAATATTCCCTGTCGTGTGAACTGTGAATCCCTGAGAGGGTAATAAAATGCATAGCATTTCCCAAAGTCAGCACAGAACACCTCTTCACAGAGTATCTCCAGTGTAGCCAAAACTATTTGGGAAGATATTGATGTCGATGACGGCACTAACTGAAGAGAGCAGGTCTCAGCAGCACAGTGCTGGGTCAAGGGCTCAGGTCCCTGGATCTCATGAGAACACTGAAGTGGAAAGTAAACTTTGACCACAGTGGAGTTCTCCAGCAGTCAAAGTGACAGTCCCTTAAGACCAGCAACTTTTCTTACATTTCTTTTATTTGGCTGGCTCTTCACAGAAGAGGAAAACTTATAGGCCCAGAAATACATGGGGCGGGCGGGGAATGCTCAAACCTCTCCGGCCAGGAGGGGAATTAAAATGAAAACTATAGCATCCATTGGGTTGGGTAACATTTTAAAACCTGATAACACCAATGTTAAAAAGGATTTTAAAAAATGAGAACTCTCATTCCCTGCTAATGGCATTGTAAATTGGTGCAATATGGTAGTACCCAATAAATTTGAAGATGTGAAAATTGTTCAGCCTAGCAATTTTACTTCTAGGTATTTACCCTAAAGAAGCTCTTACATATGTGCACAAGAAAATATTTACAAAAGTTCACTGCAGGAAATAATGTCTATCAACAAAAGCATGAATATATAAAATGCTGTGTGTCCACACACTGAAATAACACATGGCAGTTAAAAATTAATTGATTAGAGCTACATTATCAACATAATAAATTTCTAAGCATAATATTGAAAGAAAAAGTAGGTTGTAGAATTAAAAGTATAGTAAGATCCTATTTATATAAAGTTTTTTTGAAATATGCAAAAGTTTGTACATTATTTCTGAATGCATATATGATAATGTTATAACTTTACGTAGTGATAAACACTAAATAGAGGTTTAGGGGAGAGGCAAGGATTTCTTACCTCATTCTGTATATTTGTTATATTTTATATTAAACATATATTTTAAAGAGGAAAGACATGCCTAAGAAACATAGGTTTTAATGCATGGGCTGAGAGATGTAACACAAGTCAAACTAAGTTAATATGGTAAAACAATAACATGGGACACAAGGTGTCAAAGAGACAAATCAAAAAATTTAAGAATTTCCTTCACACTATATTTCTGGGAAGAAAATGGCATTCTTTCTAAGTCCTAGTAAACACATCAGCTGTTGCTATATTGCTCACCTTGTGATATTCCAAGGAGAAATTTAATTTCACTGACATGCCCATTCATTGGTACTTTGCATAGATAAAGGGACTGTTTCTAAGGAATATGTCTACTCTATGTATGCAAAGAACCCTTAGAAGGGTGTGTGGTCATAATTTAACAGTGATAGTCCTTACCCACTGCCTGAGACTAATTTTCATTTATCAGGCTGCTTATAATATCAAACGTAAAACTGAACCACTTTTAGTATCAATGAAATAAACCATCATCTTAAAATATGGTTATTTATTTGACAAAATAATTTAATTATTTGTTTGTGCTATAGTGATCTGTATGCATTTGGAGAGGGAAAGATTCCTTTCTGGATTAAAAAGGAACCACGAGATAAAGGAAAAGGTCTTTAAATGTGTAATTAAAATTTAATTAATTATCTTTCTCATTCGGTGTATTATTTTGCCGCATCATTAAATATATTCAAATGATATTGTGTTGGATTAAGGGGATTTAAGGCCTAACCTCACTTCTTTGTCTGATGAGGACTGCCGCTGAGAGTATATTGAGTGGAGGATCAAGCATCTCACTAAGAACCTTCCCTGGAATGGGGAACCAAGGGATATGAACTGAAGATGAAAAAAACCTGCTTTGTTTTCCCCAAATTGCTGATGATCCAGACAGATGTTTGCCTGTAGGTAATGTGAATCTGTTTAATCTACTAAAACAGAAGACAGCACTGAATGCAATGTCTCTCTTTTTTCCTTTGATAATTTTTACCCATTACACTATTTATTTTTAAAGACACAGAAGCAATTATTGTTAATAGTACTGGTTGCATCCATCTGCATTCCTTTCTCTTGGAAGTGATGATCCTGGCATCCCAGTCGGTCTTCTTCACCTGCATCTGGGTCACTTTGATGCCAAATGCTTTTGCTGCTGCTGAAATCGAGAAGCTCCAGCAGCGGTGCTCCTCTTCGGTGACTCGGACCCGGTAAGACATCCGCAGTATAGTCTGCGCAATTAGCACCCAGTTTCTCTCTCACCTGTTGCCTCGGGCATATGGGAAACCTGGAAACATATCTTTAATGATAGCAAATCTTTGTGGTAGTGATTGTCTCTAATGATAGCATTCATGAATCAAAATAAATCACCTCTGGTCGGCATCAGAAAGAGCAGAATCTTGGATCTCTGTTGCCATTCATATTCTTATTTTTGGAGATAACAGTTAAAGGGCTCATACATGGATATTCTTTCAAGGAATATATTTATTTAATGAGTAAGATATCTATTATTAATAATGACACTTGAAGAAACCTAATGTTCAAATTTTTTTGAATAGTGGTCTAGGCACCAACTTCTTCTAATGTCAAATACTTGTAGGGTATGTAGTTTCATACAGTGAAGAGATAGTGTAGAAAGGCATTAAAGCCATTTGTTGTCTTTAAGAATAGTTTCCGTACTTTTGAAGCATCACCGAATGTCGATAAATCATCATTATTATGTATTATCGATAATCAAGAGCATGCTTCGACTTGCTAGGAAGGGAGCCTAGCTAACTACTTGAGTGACCAGTTCATCCCTGATTTGCTGAGGGCGTCATGGGTTTTAGCACTAAAAGTCCCAGGACTCTCCTCAGTTCCAGGCAAACTGCAACAACTGTTTACCTATTACCCATGACCTTTAATAACCAAGAAATGACCTCCTCTCTTGGGGAAAGTCTTTCCTTTCCACCAAGTACAAGATTTCAAAAAAGACCCAGGAGGAGAAACTGAGGAGGAAAGGTTATACCACCCAGCTGACCTTGGCAATCAACAGAGCAACGACTGTTTCAGCCAGATTGCCTTCACTTGAATATTTGTGAAGCTCTCATAATAAGATCAGGAAAAAGAACAGAAATTTTTAATAAATTCTCTGAAGCCTCAGATTTAATGACCAAAAACAAAATAGGTGTACTCGAGAGCTGGGAGAGGTTACTAGATTCTCAACTCCTGAGCTACCATCGAAAATCAAGGACTGTTTCCCATGCTTTCCTTCCATGCTTCTGCTCCCACACTCAAATCTGAGATGTGAGGAAGTTTCTGAGTTTTTCTTCAAGGCAATTAGGCGAGGCAATATTTGGAAAATGTGGGGTTATACCACCGGGCTATGTTCTTTTCAGGTTGCTTGTAACTTCTGTGTTGATAGTTTATCTACTTTTGAAATAGATGGAGACTGCTTAAAATATCATTCCTACTCAGACATAGATTTGTCCAGATATGTGGATGAGAAGGGAGATTGTCATAGAAGCTAATCCATCTCATCGGCCTACTGTCATTAGCAGAGTTGCTTGTGTGTGTGTTTTATGGTGGGGTGGGAATTTCTTTCTTAATTTAGATGTCTCATTTTTAGATCCTATTTAAATGAATAGGGAACCCTGGGTTTCTGCTACATGGGGCCAAGCATGTTTGTTTTCACCTCTCTATATCCTAAGTGTGGTACTCCTTTCAGCAATAAGCTAGAACATGATTCATTAAAAATTTATATCTGTTGCTTTGGTTTTTCAAAGAAAAATCCTCTAGGACATGAGAGATTGAGGAAACTATCAACCCCCATTCAAAAGTAGCCACTTAGGATGAAAGCCAGGCATTTTCTCTGGGTGAACAGAGCAATCCAGCCAGCCAATTTCTGGATCGTCACTTGGCATACTGGCATGCAGATTTTAAGGCATTTTGACAAAAATAAAAAAATAACTGTATAGGGGAGTTTTTAGAGCAAGAAGCCCAGGATTCTTCAGACCTTAGTTCGTGAATAAATAATGTGAGGTTCTTTGCCTCATATTGATCTGAATAATAGTAACTAAATAAATAATGAATGAATGTACTAATAATCCATTCTTTCATAATGCAAGATAATTAATAGGATGAACATGGAAGAAAGCCATGATCTTTCTTTGAAAATTATGAAGTCAATCTATATGTATTATTTTGAGCCAGTTTCTATGCAATCAGGCCCTTAATTGCTTTGCTATTAGCTATTTTCATTCAGAATGTAATCTTACTCTAAACTCCAAAATTCCCATTTTTATCCCAACATTTTTTAAAATCTTACATCCAAGAATTCCCTATGCTTTTTAAAAACAAAATAGGGGTGGCGGTGGTGAATGAACTAAATTATGGCAGGTGAAAATGTTCCTGTTTTGCCCAGGGAAGAGATTTGGCTCCATAGTGATGCAAAGAGGATTAGATATGTAGACTCACCGAATATTAATTGATCCTTGCAACCATTGTACTGAGTGCCTTTATATGCCAACTGCTGGGTTGGGGGTTAGGGGTACTACAGGGGAACAGTACATTGTCTCTGGCCTTAAGAATAATGAACAGAGTGTGGAGTCTGAAGTCTGTTTAAATCGGCTTGCCAGAGCCAGCTGTTAAATTTTCGGGTAATCTATTAACTGACTGTTAAAAATAAACATCATTAAAAATTACATTATTGAACATACAGTTAGATAAATACTTTTTAAAACTAAAGTAATAAATTCTTAAAACTCACCATTTCCTACATACGTTACTACATTTTACTATTATCTATTGTTCTTAAGGTTACTTACATCTATCATATCTGTATGGTAGAAATACTACACTATACTGTACCATCCTATCTTTTCCTATCTATAAACAATAGTATACTACCATATGTCACATCATATCATATTATGTAATATTACATTATATTATGTGACACTACACTATGGGCTATGAACATCTCTGCCACGTCAATAACTTCAGATCAGCCATGACGGGAGTATTTACATCATGGAAATCAGCAAATACTACAAATAGGGCTTTTTTTTTTTCCTGGTGAACAACTTATTAAACATTTACCAGCACATGTGTGAACCTAATGTAAAAGCCAAAAAGGTCCTAGGGCTTGCAAATGCAAGCGCTACTGCAAATAAGACAGAAGAGAGACTATGCCAATTACAGGCTATATGCTCCTCTGGGGAGAGCTTGTTGCTAGATTTTCTGATTTTGCAAAAGAAGCAGGAAATTCATATTTTCATGTGAAATTTTCCAATTTAGTCCACCAGATGGGCTATCCAAAATATACCTGCAGACCAGCTCCTAACGTGGTCCAATTTCCTCATTTCACAGATGAGGAAACTGAGACCTCATCACTGAGTTTATGATCAGATGGAGACCCAAATGAGACCTAGGAACCATCGTTATCTCAAGTGGGGCCCACTCTCTGGCTGGCTCTTCCTCAGAAATGTTCATCTGCGTAGGTTTTCCCTTTATAAGAGGCTATTGACTAAAGTTATATATTCCCACAGTTCAGGGTGCAGAAGCAGTTCAAAGCCATGAGATTCACTCTGGATAATGCTCCATGTCCTCCCTAAGAAACCTCAAAAGCATCGGGGACCTAGGGTAAACACCAGTTCATAACAGAGCTTAAGCAGAAAAAGCCCATGTTAGCAGAATGACAAGAAAAATGGAATGAGAAGGTGAAAAGCCATGACTGGATCCTTATTTGGAAAAGATCCTAGATGGCAAGTCCAATTTGGTCTAGATAACTTATAAAGCATCTATTACACAAATCCAATAACAGGTTTTTACCTAGGGAGGGGAGAAAAAAAAAAGAATCTTCATTATGCTTTCCCTTTTCCAAATTTACTCCTAATCTACATTCATGTACCTACATGATTTTTTATGTTTAAAAGTATAGTATAGACACGATTTTGTATTTTCTTAACTTAAGCATTTTCCACATTGTTTCATGGACAACATAATAGTATTTTTAATCACTCCATATAATTACTTTGAATTAAAGGACCAAAATTACCTACTTTATTATTGAACATTCATTTTCAAGTTTGCACTAGTATGAGTAACAGCAATAAATATTTTCATGCATGTAATTTTACCTTTACCAATAAAAAATATGTTTCTAGAAATAAATTACTGAGTCAAAGCACATAAATTATCTTGATAGCTCTTGAAATTGATTTCTAAAGGAGTTTTGCCAATATTTATACTGCCATTTACAAAATAGAAATGTTTCCATTTCATCATATTCTTAATAGCATTGGATTCTAAGATTTTGTTTTCTGCTCACTTAATAGGTATAAAATGGTAGTTATGGTTTTAATTGGCGTCTCACTGTTAACCCTCTAGAGTCAATATTTTTAATATGCTTATCAATTATATCTTCCTACATAAATAATCTATTCATGTCAGACCTAGTTGTTTTCAATTTCTGATCCTGGTAAAATAATCAAATATATAGGCCCTTGAGAAAGCAGTTTTATAAAGCAACTAGGCGTTCGTGACCCAAGTGAAATGGATTTTTTTGTCATTCCACTTGCTAAACTCCAATGCATCAGAATGACTTAGATGTATTTGCTTTTCCTCAGCCACTTCTAGTACTTTTTAATTCTTTGCCTAATGTCCTCCTCAAAGACCCTCTTAGTCCTCCTGAAACCAGTCAAAATTCAGTTTTTCCTTCCCTCCAGACCCCCAGTTTCTTGGTTAAAAAATTATAGTGGAGTTTCTGATACTGAGAAGAGGGGAAGCATAGAAATATGATTCCTTTGTTTTATCCAAGAAGGAAAAGGTTCTAACTCAAAGAGAAAAATGGTAACAATTACCAAGACTTACACCTACTCTTCCTCAAATAATGTTCATAATATTTTTTGGGCAAAGATAGTGATTGAGAATGCTAAGACTCTCCATGAGCCAAGGTTTCCTTGCTCTATCCCATTAGGACCCAACCTTCCGGAAGCCCCTCTCCTCAGACAGGAGTTTCTGAAAGCCTTTTTTGGTAGCTACTAAAAATGAAATCATTTTTTTTTTCTAGAAAAGAGGAGAGTACAGAAGGCACAAAGTAGTTAAAAATGATACGTATGTGGAATACGATTAGAAAGCTCTGAGCTAAATCTGATGCTCCATCATAAATTAACCCCCTTATTAGGCATATTTGCTTCTCTCACCTTTGTCTGTTCTAGTTCAGCCCTAATATATATACACACACGCATATACATATATATGTATATGTATACATCTTTTTTTTTTTTAAAATAAACCCAGAGTCTTCAAATAGGGCACCTATACTTCTGGAATCCAATGTACCCCTCAGGGTGCATGCAGGCTATCAGTGGGGTCTATGGGCACAGATCGTTTTTTAAAAATCATTTCTGGTACTTCAAAGAAATGATGTCTTTCCTAAAATTTTTCCATCAGCAAACCTGGTGGCAGTCTCCTTTGTAGCCTCCCTTTAATGATTGCTCTGTCCCATTTAGCCTATTACCCCAGTCTAGAAAATCTTCCTGGTTACAAAGAGACTTATAAATACTGTTGTTGAGGTATAGGATGACTTCACTTTAAATAACACATCTTCCAAACTGGGTGATTTCCTTTTATTATTTTTTCCTTTTCTTTCTTTTTCTTTTTCTTTTTTTTTGCTTTCAACAAAACTGAAGGAAGGAAGCATCTAATTAATTTGCCAGGTTACAGATCATTAGAAATAATTTCTGATGATCATAGTGTGATCACAATATGAATTTCAGAATATAAAAAGGAATTTAAATAAAGTGATATTGCTGAAACAAAATTTCTTTAAATTTCATGTACTTACATATATATTAACAAAGGTTTTCAATATTTTCATCTATAAAAGTTAAAAAAATAGGACCAGGGAAATGCAAATCAAAATCACAATGAGCTATCATCTCATACCTGTTAAAGTGGCTACTGTAAAAAAGACAAGAAATGACAAGTTTTTGCAAGGATGTGGAGAAAAGGAAATCCTTGTGTACTGTCAGTAGGAATGTAAATTGGTACAGCCACTATGGAAAACTGTATGGAGTTTCCTTCAAAAATTAAAAATAGAACTACTATATGATTCAGCAATTTCAGTTCAGGGTGTTTTTCCAAAGAAAATAAAAATACTAATTCCAAAAGATATATGCACCCCTATGTTCACTGCAGCATTATATACAATAGTCAAGATATGGAAACAACCTAGGTATCCATCAATGGATGAATGGATAAAAAGGTTGTAATTTATGTATATGTACATAATATATGTAGTGTATATATGTATATATAGTATATATGCATATATATACACACACATATTTGTATGTTAATATGTACATATGTATATATAATAGAGTATTATTAAGCCATACGAAATGGATATCTTGCCATTTGTGACCACGTGGATGAAGATTGAGGGCATTATACTAAGTAAAATAAGTCAGAGAAGGGCAAATACTGTGTGAAATTTAAAAATAACAACAACAGCAACAACAGAAACCAGGCTTATAGATACAGAAAACAGATTGGTGGTTGCCAGAGGCAGGACGTTGGAGGTGGGTAAAATGGGGGAAGGGTATCAAAAAGTACAAACTTCCAGTTATAAAATAAATAAGTCATGGGGATGTAATGTACAGCATGAACTACAGTCAATAATACTCTGTTACATATTTAAAAGTAGCAGGGAGGGTAGATCTTAAAGGTCGGCAGAAAAAAAATGTTTGTAACCATGTATGGTGAGAGATGTTAACTACACTTATTGTGGTGATCACTTCACAATATGTACAAATATCAAATCATTACATTGTATAGTGAAACTAATATAATATTATGTCAATTATACCTCAGTAAAAAAATAAAAATTTTTAAAGTAAAAATTAGTAATAGAATTTATGCTAGATCTGGTTTCATTGTAGCAATGAGTAATATCTATATACAGCTACAGGAAATAATTGGGGATAATGTACCATCACTTCATTAAGATTTATACTTCTGATAAAATTTTATTCATAATTTTAATAAGTATTTATCAACATTTATATGAGTTATGTTTTGCTCTATTTGTAATAGTCATAAGAGCTTTAAAAAGTTAATTTTAATGTATATACCTTTATTCTTGCAAAGAAGTATAATAAGGTGATAAAATTCTAGGAAGGAAATAAAATGGAAGTGCAAGTTCAAAGAAAACAAGGAATGAGATTAAATTTATGATTTTTAAAGAAGAGCTCATTCATGCTTTTAAAAAATACATGATGTGGATATTTAGATTCCATGAGTACATTAAAAGTAGAAAAATGTTTTAAATGATTAATATTTAAGTAATTTTAAATTTTATTATGAAAAAATTGTAGATGTCTACTTAAATATTGTGAAGGAGTACATAATTCTCGAATTTCTTTTAGATAGTATACAAGCCACATAATCTTTTTTTAAGAAATAGATGAGGTATAAAATAAAGCCAAGTACAAGTAAATATGGGACATCTCACTGTGCACCAGAAGAACCCTCAGGTAAGGACAGGTGTGTGTGCTTTCAGGTATTGCCAAGAGTGCATTTCATAGCAGGCTCTGTGTTTGGTGTTTCTGGGATTTTTGATGAAGATTTACCCTTTCCAATCTCATAGGAAGCCATGCTGCTGAAATGACACATTAGTGATATACCACTTAGTTGTATTTTATTTAAAAAGGAGTTCACAAATTTTCATGAGTTTCCACCTAAAGTTACATTCCATTTTTCTTAAAATAATAACTACTTAGCTTTTATTAAATATTTTCCAGACCAGAGGTTCTCCTGAGAAATTGTTATAAATGCAAATTCTCATACCTCAAACCTATTGAATCAGAAACTCTGGGCATGGGTCCCAGCAAACCAGGTGATGCAGATGCATGCCAAAGGAGATAATATTTATACAACATCTGGTATGGAGCATTGAACATAGTAGGTATTGCATAAAAACTAGCTGCTGTTACTTTTTGAATAAATAGTTTGGTCTACCTCCTAGAAAGAAATTTTCTAGTTAATTCTATATCCTTGGAAGAGATAGCTCTATGTATTTAATTATTCATAGGATACAATGATTTGACATTTTTAAAATCAAATTCATTGTCTTCTACCCAAAACAGGTTTCTTCCTCCAATTTCCCCATTTCAATCAATGGCAAAAATACATATATAAATCTCTGAGGGTTTCAGCCAGAAAAATTCCTTGCTGAAAGAACATACTGGATGATATAGTTGCCCATAAGCCTGGATATATTTTTTCAACCAGCTGCTTTAGAATGTGAAATTCCCACCATCAAAGTCATTTTACTGAGTTAAAATTTACATCTCTTTGCTGGAGAAGACATTTATTAATGCAAAAGCATATCAGGAATTTAGAGTAATTAGAATTCACCTTGTAGATCCCTCAGGGTCTTGTGTTATTGTTTTGTTGATGGTGAAGATGATGACAGTAACGATGACAGACATGCTTTTCTGGAAGGAGGAGCCAAACAGTCTCCAGCACCTGAGACGAGAAGACTGCTGCATGTCACTTACAGAGGGGCTGTGCTTTCACAGGCATTTTACCCCCACTCTGAGAATATCACTGAGAAGAATGTATCACAGAACTAAAAATGAGTCAGGGAGGCCAAGCCAGCAACTTGTCTGAGGTCATGTACCCAGGGAGTTAACAGGGCTTTACTCCCCAAGAGGCCATTCCCTGCTTTGTCTTGCCCTAATGAGCTGTAATTGAGAATAGATTTCACCTCCTTCACAATCGGACTTGGCATTGGGCCCAATCAATTGTCAAACCCATCCATTTTTATTTTGGTTTCTTTCCATTCCCATTGCTATTCCTCAAGTTCCAGAACCTACTATAGAGGTTCTACCTCTCACCTCAACCTGTGCCCATACTTTCTGCTCATTTTGTCATTGTAAAACACTATTTTCATCAGCTTACAATTCTGCAGCATTTTTGTTTTTGCTGTCATAGGGCAGAAGTAGTTTAACTTCAGTAGACAGCATGTTTAATGCAGATTCGTAGGCCACATTTTCTTTGGTTCTGGTTTAGGTGGAGTCCGCGGGTCTGAATTTTGATTACCTCCACCCACGTGGTAGTGATCAGGTTTTCCTGGCCTAAACACCATGTTCTGAGAAACATTGCCTGTCAGTTCATTGCATCCAAACTCAGTTTGTCATTTAAGGTGCTCCAAAATTTGGTTTACCCCACCTGCCCTACCCACCTTTATATAAAAAATAAAGAGAAAATGTTGGCAGAACTTTTGATATGTGTAATATGAACTGAGAAAATGAGCTTTTATGTATATATTTCAGAGAATACCATGTTGAACACAGAAGTCTAACCTAAATCAAAACATCAGATGCATACATATCTCAAAAGTATTTTTTCCCCTTTGGAGGGACAGCAAACAAGAAACCAGAATGAGGAAAGATGACAGTACCAAAGTGTGGCCCCTAAAATATGAGCAACTTCTCCACATAGAGGACCACGATTTTGCAATGAGACCTGGATTTGGAAGTGAGTATTATCTTTACCAAACTCTATGTCACAATCCATTGCACTGTCAAAATGGAGCTGAAAATTTGAAGCAATTAAGACTAAAACACAAGGAAAGACCATTTAAAAAACAAAATGAAAACAAGGATACCTTTTACGATGACATTCTCTTGAATGAGAACAATGGTTTGTTTTATTTTTATGCATTTTAAATTGACCAAAAAAAGATAAATATCTTCACTAAATATCCATACTATTTACTAATTATAAAGAGTATATGTTCAATAAATAGTGAATGAATATATCTTGCCAATACACTAACTTATTTCAACTAAACCCTGTAAATTGGATCACATGACGGTATTCATAAAACCCTACTGAATACTCTTGTAAGCTATAACACCTGGCTAACGTGGAAGAAGTAGTGTACCAAATGCTTGGCTCCCTAAGAAACAACTCTGCTGAGGGATTTTTGCTTTTTATCACCTTCAGCCAATAAAATTGTTCTGTCGGCATGCCAGGCCATGTGCACTAGCTCATTCCACACTCCCTCACAGTGACCCTAGGAAGTAGACACAGTTGGGATCCCTAATAATCCAGTGTGAAAACTGGGGCTTAGAGATAAGAGATTTGCTCAAGACCAAGAAAAAAGCAGCAAGTGGTGGAACCATGATGCAATGGCAGGTACGGAGGCGATGTGGAGCAAAGTCTTTCCTCCCCTCAGATCGTTTAACTGTGTATAGCTGCATCGCTGCGAGTGTCAGATTTTCTAGACATACACAGGATGTGGTGAAATCAACCAGTTAAATTTCACTCTCCGCCCTACTGCTAAATCCATCCCAACGCTCCTGTCATTGTTTCCCACTCCCACAATTCCAGAATTGACAATTTTTCAATATGTTAGAGTTGTGACTAGAAGGCAAGTGAATGTGAGAGTGAGAAGGCAGGATCCTCCAGCAGTGGAACAGGTTCAGCTTTTTGATAAAGAACCAATACTTCAAATACTTAGTATGGGGTGGGGGGGATTTGATAATCCTAGATCGTGGTAATGACCAAGGGAAGCGCAACAGGCACATAGGTACCCTAGAGAACCAATTTGTCAAGTAATTGTTATGTTGAGGGTTGTTTGTTTGGTTGTTGTTGTTTTTATTTCCTGGAATCCATAGTGTTGCAATTCTAAGGGTCTGGCTTTGACTTTATTAGATTGGTGACTCAGACTTCAGTGAACATCAGAATCACCTGGGGGTTCTTAACACACAGGTTAATGGGCTTCACTCCCAGAGTTTTTACTCTACTAGATCTAGGTGGGGCCAACAGTCTGGTTTTATAATAAATTTCTAGGCAATTCTGCTGCTGGTGGTCTCATAATCAACATATTATAACTACACAGTTCAATTATCAGCATCAGATTATACCTTGGTGAGTTTAATTTTTTTGTTTTTCCAGAGCATGTCTCACAGTTATGTAACCTAATTAAGACCTTAGAAGGCTCAAAATTAATCAGGTTTAAAGATGTGTCTATTTTTTTTATTTCCAAGACTGTTTATCTTCTTTTTCTTTAGATCACGGCTTCTCAGATGTGTTATCCTTACCACAATTCTACTAAAGATGCCTGACTTAACTGCCGTTCCCAGTAGACCCGTTTCTTTCTTCCAACAAAATTTGCTCAGAGTTTGGATAATATACTCTACAGCTATCTCGCGGGTGTTCTGTACCTTGGTCTCTATGATTTTATAAAAATTTCTAAAATGCCCTACCACCATTGGGTTTGCGAAAATCTTAAAATGAACTTGGCCGGCTATGAGTCTCTTGGGCCACTAGGGGGCACCAGCCACACAGGAATGTCGGAATTGGCCTCTCCCGAGCGGTAGTCAGAAATTCAAAATGATGTACGTGCTCTCTCCAACACGAATTCACAAAGCTGCCCTAATGCCTGTCAGGTTAGGTACCTCAATTAAATGAATTCCTAAAGAGTTTTTATGGGTCTATTTTAGACCGTTGACAGACAGAAAGATTGAGAGAAAAATGACTGTCCTTGAATTTGGACCTTGAAACAAACACTCTAGAAAGGCTTTGTAGCTGAAAGTGGTTCAAGGACCAGCAGTAGAATCGCCTGAGAATTAGTTGGAAATGCAGAAGCTCAGGTCCCACTCCAGGTTTTTCTGAATCAAAATCTGCCTTTTAACAAGATCCCCAGGTGATTTGAATACACATTACAATTTGAGAAACACCGCTGTAGATCATTAAGTGCTCACCCTCTGTTTTTACCTTACAAATATTTATGCCTTTATTCTTCCTTGCTTTGTCATCCCCATCCCCAGAAAAACATAAAATTGACTCATAAAATTCTCCTGATGTGTTAGAGATACATGCTAATATTTTTTTTTTTTTTTTTTTTTTTTAGTGAGATTCTTTTTAAAACAATTTTTCCCCCTGCGGCTACTTTGTGGGGTTATTAAAAATGCAATTAAAGTGTGCTGTTTAATGGCAGGTGGCAAATCATCCCACGATTAAGAAATTTTTCTGACAGTCATGGACTGGGGGTAATTGGTGTCCAAATGGCTTGTGTGTTCAGGCAGAAAAATCCATAAATTCAGTCACAAGTGTCATCTGTTTGCTCTGTAAAATATAGTCCTTAACCTTCTTTGCCTTGATCAGAACAGCTCCTTATCCAGTGACCCATTTCTCTGTTCTCTCAAGGCTGCCTCCAGGAGGAAATGAGACTGCGAGATAAAAAAGACGAGCTTTAATTTATCTTCTCTTTCTTTATATTTGTCCATATCACAAACACATACACATACTCCTTTCCTCTCGAGCTAAATGTAACTTCAGCATTTCTCTTGTCTTAATGTGCTTTCCTAATTAGCTTTAACATTAAAACCAGCTGCTACTGCAGTGTATTTTACTTTTATAAAGCATAAGAAGATTAATTGACTCATTAAGTGCAAACGGGAGGATATAAATTTAGGAGAGCTTTTTTGTTTAACTTGGGTTATAAATTGTGGCTCGTTTTCTTTATTTATGTTTCCCTACCCTTTACATCTCCAATAACTAAGAGCTTTTTTCTTTTAGTCTTACAGGTGATGATTTCTTTGTTTCTTTAAAGCGAAGTCAGTTTAGCATCTAGATACTGGATACTGAGGAAAGAGAAAAGCTAACGTTGTAAAAGCCACTTGTATAGTCTTTGCTTGTCAAACAGGAGGACTAGACTGGGAGCCAGAAGGACCTGACTATATTCCTGCATAACTAGCTTTAGATTTCAGGCAAGTTCTCTAACCTCGCTGAGCGTGAGTTTCTTCATATGTCACATGGAGCTAAAATTGGCTCTACCTAGCTAACTAAAAGGTAGTTGTAATGATAACATGAGATAATATATACTGGATTTTACATGCACTGTAGAAATAAAATGTAAAACTTCCATTGAATTCTCCTTATCCCAGCATGCATAAAAACTAGATTGATGATCTATCTATATATATAAAGAGGACTATAAATGGATGTGGTACTACCTGGTTGGTGATCATGGGAAATCAACACCATAGTTGTAAGATTAATATTTATTTAACTTTTTCTATATTTCAAATGCTTTATGTACAGAGTTAATAATATTTATAAGATTGTTATTATTCATGTTGTTGTATATATTACTGATTCGATAGGTAATGAATAAATGGTTGTCAAGATATTTGAATGGAGTTAGGCTAAGGACTTGACATGCATTCTTTGTTTTAGTCTCATAGAAATCCTATTAGGTAGGTACCATATAGTTATTTTCCCTATTTTACAAAAGAGCAAACTGAAGAGCTAAGGGATTTTCAGAAGTTTGGCTTTTACTTGGATTTATGTGGCTACAAATCTCATGATTTTTTTTTTTTTTAACCTATCTGCTGGATTGCCACCTTCTCTCTCTGGGACTCAGCTCCTTGTCTATAAAACGAATGACTTTTGGAGCTTTTATCCAGCTCCAAAATTCTATGATTCTGCATTTGCCTTTACATGCCCCTCACCCTCCACTCTGTCCTCAACAATGTCAGACCACAGTATAGATTCATAGATCCAGAAGTAAGGAGCACGTGGACATGGAGCCCAAAGGATGCAAAAAAAAATGAGGTCAGATGACATCCAAAGGCAAACACTTTCCTTGCAAATGGAAGTGCTCATCCCCATAAGAATAGTATAAACTGGAGGGAGGAAAGAACATGTCTAAGATGTTTCCAGGAACCAGCCATGTTTTTGCTCCACTGTCAGACCAGCCTTCAAACAACCCTGAGGGCCCACAGCTTGTCTCGTGATGGCATGAATATATCCTTGTATGGAGACTTTGTAAGGTTGTCCCCAGGCTTGCAGAGGTAGTCATCAGCAACTAAGATCTATTTATAAGTTACAAGATCCTAAATCCAAGTTCTCAGACTTCTCAGATATTTGTCATAAAATAAATGCTCTATGAGAAGCACTATATCATTTTTCAGTGAGGAATGGACTGATTATCTAAACATTTGAGAGTAGGATTGGGAATAGTGGCTTGCATTCCTAGAGGCAGGTTCACATTTTTGCTAAATTGCAGTAGCATCAATTAAGTGTACTAACTGTGTATTATTTCTAGTCCTCAAATGAGTCTCTAAGGTGAGTACTAGTACTCTAATTTTATAGGTGAGGAAACTAAACTAGAGCTGTTACTTCCCTTTGATCACATATGGGTGGTAGAGCTGGGTTCAAACCCTATTCTGTGACTTGAATGCCAGAATTTTATTCAGGATATTTTGTTACCTCTCCAAGAACTCTCCAAACCTTTCATTCCTTTGGAGTAATAGAATTCATGGGAAGATTTTCTCATACTCAAAGGCCAAGTAAAGCCATAGATGAGGCGTTACTATAAATTTTTATTTTGATACCTCTACTAATTAAAGAAAAAAAGGCAAACAAACAAAAAGCATTAGAGCTGAATCTTACAAAGGCATAATACTGAGATGTTCCCAAGTTAATGCTTAATCAATTATCATTAAACAATATTATTTACAGAATTGTCATTATTACTGTTGTAGAAAGTAGTTGATCCAATATAGCAGGAAGTAGTAGGTGGTTAAGATGCAAGCATGGTTTTCCTGAAATCTGAAGCAGAAATATATTCAAGCAACAGGCTCAGTGCCTGCCCAGCTGGAACCCTTGTAAATAAGGAATGATATTGAGGATATAGACATATGGAAGAGAAAATGGAATCTGTGTTGATAACATGAAGGAAACATCAGCCAGTTAATGGGGGAGAAGTCGTAGATAGTGAACAAGAACTGGCAAGGCATATTTTGTGTTATAATGTGTTGTCTGTTTAAAACACAATAGAAAAAACATTTGAGATCTTGCTTCCCAGAAATTGTCATCAGTTTGGTTCAAATATACTCTTATAAAATTTTTTTAAAAAATAAATAAATAATAATTTGGTGCTTTATTGAATTATACGCACTATATGAGTCACATGTAGCACATCCAGACATTAATTGACCTCAGTAAGGAAGTTTTTCTGGCCATACCCTTCTAAATCCTGGATCTTGACTAAAACAGTCACCCAGTATCTATCAAAGCAGGATTGCTATTTTTTTAAACAATAGTTGAAAGTATTTTTTAACTCAGGACTACACAGAGACAGTACAATTTAATTGAGGAATAGTCCCTACGGAAAGAAAACATGCGAAGACTATATGTATAAATATATAAATTATTTTAGCATATATTTGCATTAAATTTCTTACACAGCACTAAATAATGAAATTATTAATATCAGTGTCCCTTCGCGCAAGAAATGGTGAAACCATTTATGAGGTGACACAAGGAAATGTCCTGGTCTCAGTCTAGACTGGACTCTCTAGTGTCATTGTTTGGGTTCTTCGGGCCAACAAACCTAATTCTGTGAGACCCAACTGCAAACAAATTTCAGCCATTCTCTGTCTGAAGTCACTCCAGTTCTGACTCTCAGTGTATTGTCATCAAATGCATTTCTAAGGATGTTTGCTTCATCCCAAATGCAGGTTGTGGTTACCAATGTCTGAATGTATGGCCTCCACCTGTGTAGCACAGTAGTATCATCATCGTCCTTCTAGCCTGCCAAGCACTGCTCAAGTGAAAAAGGCTGATTGTTTTAGCAGGAGAGTAAAGCTCCCACATTTTCCAGAGTCGTAAATTCTATGACCACTTCACTCTCTGACTATAAAATCTACCATAGAGATACAGAATTCTACATGCTCTGAGACATGTTTTCAAAATGTTCCTTTTTAAATCCCTGCTAGTTAAAAAAACAAACAAACCTGGAAACACCACTGTGCACTAAGTATATTATAAGATAGAAAATATTAAATTGTTTTCAAGCAAATGTGTAATGATTATTGGAGTAACATTTATTTACACATGTGCCTTTATTATTATAATTGAATGTATAATTATCAACAGATAATGGAGAAATTTGTTGTTAAAAATGTGGAAAGTAATTAATTTGCAACATTAATCTCTCTGCTTTAAATGTTTGCAAAATAATTCTAATGATTTCTTAGTATTTTACCCACTTTTCTTTCTGAAGAGTCTCCAGTGCCGGTGGGTATAGATGTCCAGATTGAAAGTATCGACAGCATTTCAGAGGTTAACATGGTAAGTATCCATAAGATACTGGTCTTTTTCTGAAAGAATGGAGGCTCACTAGTGTCACTATTTTGACAAATCATTTAAATTATGTTGTTTATCTTTTCAACTTTGCTTAATAGAGTTGTGGGTGCTTTGCTCTCATCTATCCATTTCTTTCTGCCCTTGGTGACAATTCTTATTCCTTTTCTACTCTTCTCCTTTTCTTTGAATGGTTTACATGGTGGAGTGCTGTAGGAAATCATGATATATTTAGCTGTGTAACATGAACCAGGAATAATTGTATAAGAAGGAAGCATAATCATAAAATATATGAATTTTGAAATCACGATCATTCCTTACCCATAAAGTGATGGATAATTGAACCATGTTTGATGAACATCTTTCAAATGTTTCAATTACCATTAACATTGCTTATCTGTAGATAAACAATAGAAGACAACAAAGGATTTTTTAAAACTCCTGGGAACTAAAAATTTAAATTAAGAAAATGTCTATTTCCTATTATTTTCTAGAAATTTAGAACAGACTGCCATTATTTTAGCTTGCAACGAAATATCTATGTTTTCATAAATTTGTGAATCACTGCCCCTAAAACCTGAAACTCATCAATTAGCCTTCCTTTTAGCCTTTTTCAGTCTTCTTTGTTTTGTATGCCTTGCTTTTTGGTTTCTTCTTCCCCCTCCCTCAAGTTGGTTTTACCATTTGAGCTATTTTTATGTTTTAATACCCCCCTACCATAATTTTTCTATTTTATTTTCTCAACTCTCACCTTAGAACTACCTTCCTTGTCTACGTAATTACCAGAGCTATTTTTCACTTAAGTAATTTTAAGGCTTTTCAGGATTTTGCTTTGAGAAATAACAATTAGTGCCATGGTGAACTTAGATATCTAAGCACACACATCATTTGTTTTCAGATGTAATTCCTTTACCTACAACTTTTCTGTTAATTTGGTAATGTCTCAGAGCTTTGTGTAGCCCATTTTGGTATATTTTTCTATATCAAATAAGGAGTACTTTCATAGTTTCAAATTTTGAATGTCCATTTCCTTAGTCTCACCTAAGTGATATACATTCTCACATCTGAATTGCTCTCTCCATCTAATTTTGTTCTCTTCAGTTGTGCTGTCTTTCTCATCATCTCCTGTAGTTGCCTTTCTTTGCTTTCTGTCAATGCCACACTAGGTGCAACTGTTAACTACAAGAGCCGTAACAGGTACTCGCTGGTGAGACGCAGCTTTGAATACGTTTTGGTTTGGGTTTCAATTCTGGATTTGGTTCAAATTTTAGTTTTACTCCCACCTCCCTAAAAAGTATTAACCAATTTAATGGTAAATGCCTTTAGGTGGAACTGTGCCCTCCAGCTTGCCCTGGAAACAATGCCTGGATTTTCTTAGGTTCATCCCGCTTCATTCATTGATGTTGCTCACCTGGTCCTACAGTCATTTGAGGTTGCAGCCCTTAACCAAATGCTTATCATCCTTTGTTTTCTACTTTAAATATGGAAGCTTTGGGGTGGGGGGCAGGAATTAAAAATAAAACCAGGAAATAACCCTTCCATAAATAGGGAGGATTTTAATTACTTTCATTTCAAACTCCATTTTCCATCTGGAAAGATTTAGTTTGTTGTTTATCATTTCATGTAATGTGTTATGTACATTAATCCTTGCATTTCATTCCCTTTTCTGGAATCTTTTACATAGGTGTTCTTGTGAAATTTTCAAAATTAGCTTTTGGAGACTTTTGAGAATAAAAGTATTTTTGATATATGAGCTGTAGCTTATATGTAGTGTTTTTCATAGAAGTAAGCTCTGAAATTTAGATTCCATGTATTACTTTTATAATATGCAAATATCACAGTTAAAGATAAAAATGTAAAAAGAGAGAGAAAGAACAAAGAAGGGATCTCTCAAGGAAGCAGGACCTAGAATTATAAATTACACTGTAAGGTCAAATAATCTTTCCATATGTATCTTAATTAATATTTTTATTTATAGTGACTCCTCAATTAGTTATTGCCATCCAAATGTTAACTAAATGAAAGATGACAGGACATATTTAAAATTGTCAAAGTTCTATATTTATGTGTTAATTCAAGAAAAATTTGAGTATTGTTGGGAAATAAATGATAGTAAGAAATAAACAGTTGTGAAAAGTGAAACATATTGTCATTGTCCACACCCAATGACTTAGACGAAGCTCGGAGAGTTTCTGTTCAAACAAACAAAATCTTACATGTTGCATCTGAGAGCCAAACAAAACTCAAATCATTGACTAATCAGATTTTTTTTCTGTTAATATGATGTTAGTATGGCTTTTCCCCTCCTTACCTCCTTACATTAACAGTTCAAATCCCTAAGCTATTCCAAATTAGAGTCTCCAGGAACTAACTTCTGGGGAATGTGCCATTTGAACAAAATCACAGGTGATTCTTTTGCAACCTTGAATTTGAGAACCACCATTTTATGGTGCTTTCTGTCTCTCAAGTGAGTAAGACCATTGCCTCTGCCCCAGGACCTCTGACGAAGTTCTTTCTACTAACAGCTCGAATAAATCCCATGTTGAGTATTTTGTGGGACTACGGTTTATTCAACTTGGAGGGGGGCCTTCTTTAACAAAAACAATCAAATTTATGAATACGAAATTAGGTATAAAAGTGAATATTCATTCACAATGGGAAAAGAGATCAAAATAAAATACTAGAGCATGGAGTTTCTTCTGAGATCTCTCAAGGTTCTTTACCAGAGTGCTTATGTAGAAATGCTTCCCAGTTACAACTGGCTTTTCTCTCCCAACACAAACGCTCTATACTTCCCAGAAACTCTCAACATTCACTGGAGTCCAGGTGAGGGAGAGACTCTGCAGCCGAAGCTCACTAGCTTCATCCTAAATATACCTGAAAATACAATATAAGCCATTCATTTACAGGTCAGTAACATCCAGGACTAATTGTGTTGACTGATCATCCTGAATCATATTCTTCCTGACTTCGACTTGTCTCTTTTTCTCTCTGCCTAGGACTTTACGATGACTTTTTATCTCAGGCATTATTGGAAAGATGAAAGACTCTCTTTTCCTAGCACAACAAACAAAAGCATGACCTTTGATCATAGATTGATCAAAAAGATTTGGGTGCCCGATGTCTTTTTTGTCCATTCTAAAAGATCCTTCATCCATGATACGACTGTGGAGAACATCATGCTGCGTGTCCGCCCTGATGGAAATGTCCTCTTCAGTCTCAGGTGAGGGCTGTCTGCCACTGCTGGCTCCCTGTATCATGGCCGTCTGTGCCAAGTTGGTCTCACTTTGGACGAAGCTCACGATAGTGCTGTGTGTTTAGTGATGCTGGAGATTGGAGCACAAGCAAAAGATGAGATTTTTTTCCCGGTTCTAACTTCCAGATTTTAAAGAATGGTTTCCTAACTATACTTACTCGGGCCTGTATTGGAGAATGGTAGGAAATAAGATTGAATAAATAGAGTGGAGCTGAACTGTGGAAATCCTTAAGTCCAGCACACAATTTTCTAGGTATGCAAAACTGCTCTTCCTACTCACCAGCTCCACCCCACCACTGCAGCCCACCAAGCAGTCTTGGAATCTTGGATGAGCTAAGTAACTTTCTTAACAATTGCCTTCATTTTTCATGGGAAAGTATAGTTATCATACAAGTTCCTGCTAATTTCCTCACTTCCTTTTTCATGTATTTTTTTAAATTTGAAACATTAGTTCTGACACTATGCTATAAGAGCCTTCTGTTTTTAATGTACCATATGTCATTTAAGCCTAATGAGTTCTGTGTATACCAAGTAGCTTATCATAGGTAATTCTAAAAATGTTTAGTAAATCTAAGCAATTTATTTCTTTTTTTCATGCCTTAGAAATCCCAGAAAGATACTGAAATAGATGGGGGGAAAATGGCTTCCCCAAAGATACCCATGTCCTAATCCCTAAAACCTGTCAAATTTTCCCTATGAGACAGAAAAAGGATCTTTGCAGATGTGATTAAGTTAATCTTGAGAAAGGGAAATTATCCTGGGTTATCTAGTTCAGACTTAAATGCAATCATAAATATCCTTGAAAGAAGGAGGAAAAGGAAGATTTGATACACACAGAAGAGTAGAAGGTAGCGTGACCATTAAGACGAAGATTGGAGTGATGCTGCCACCAACCCAGGAATGTTGGCAGCTGCCAAAAGCCATTTAGAGGCAAGGAATGAATTTTCCCCCTAGAACCTCTGGAGGAAGCAGGGCCTTTCTGACACCTTGATTTCAGTCTAGTGACACTAATTTCAGGCCTCCAGAACTGTGAGAGAATAAGTTTCTGTTGTTTTAAGCTATGAAGTTTGTGGTAATTTGTTACATTGGCCATAAGAAACCAATACAAATTCTTTTTATTCCTTAAAAATATCTTGCTCACTAGTACAAAGGTGCTATGGCCAGACATTTCATAAAGCCTATCAATGTTTTTTAAAATGTAACTAAAGGGAAGTACTACTTTCAAAAGGACTTTTAAATCAAGAGTATCGTAGCACTCTAGAGTACTGGAATTAGGCTTCACTGGGAATCAGAAGGAGAACAGCAGCACCTGCCCAAGGAGTCAACTGTTTTAAATTACTTATTTGGATGGAAGGATGTCCATTAAAGAAATACTCAGTCGATTGTCCATAGCCTGCGCATTCCAAGGAAAGACTGGGCTCCTGCCCAGCTCCTGAGAGGTAACCTCCAAGCCCTTGGAATATCCTGTCAGATGAGAGTGTCTTTGTTTACCCAGAGGCCTTGGCCTATACCAGATTGTCTGTATGATTATGACGGAGGTCTTGGGCCACATTAGAGATAGGGAGGTGATATCATGTGATGATAACTCTGGAGGAACTGGAGACTAGAGTCAGACATACCTATGTGTCCAACCCTCAATTATTTCTTTAGACCCAAGGCTCAGTGGCTTCTCTGGTTGGCAGTACTCCATGGCTGTTGTTACACATCATTGCTAGGAGAATTAAGCACTGACCCCATAACTCCATTAGCACAGGACAAATAGAAACTTGTTCCTGGTCCATCCTGGATGCTGCCCTATGCACTTTTTCCTTTCATTGTAACAAACTGTTAACTGTTAATGTAACAGCTTTGAAGAGTTCTATCAGTCCTTTTAGCTCATCATTGAACTTGAGAGTGGTCTTGTGAAATCCCTGAACACAGAAGGACTCAAAATTGTCGTCTGTATAACTATTCCAACTGACAGCAGAGCCAGTCTAAGCCCAGAGCCATGTCACCTGGTTCTAGGCTTGGTCCTAGTACTATCTACTGACAAAAATTCTTTTCTTGATCAAACTCTACTGATGCTTCTCTGAACTCTCTCTTCACCTAGACCCTGACTTTTGAGCTTCCGTGTTTGTCTTTGATAAGTCAATTTAGCCAGAATCCCCATCCTCAATATCTGATCAGGTTCCTCATCCTTCACCGTTCCCCAGGTAACATCTGATCACCCTGGCCTGTCTTCAGCAAGAATCCTATTTGGTCCATTTAGCCAGAATCCCCCTGCCTCCTTACCCCTGATGTTTCCTCTGAGTAATTTTCCATCCATTGACCCACATCATGCTTCTTGGTTATGAAGTTCCACTTTTCCTTGTTATATTTGGAGTTGAGCCCAATCTCTCTCCCGTATTAAAAAAAACCCATTACAGTTGCCTCTCAATAAAGTCTTCCTTACTTTCTTTAACAAATGTCACAAATAATACATTCTTTAACACCACCCACCTAACCTCCTTGGCGGTTCATTTATTCATGTATACCATGCAGGAGGCAGACTCAAAGACTTTAGAGGTCCCTTCTCGCTTTAAAGTACTAGGAATATGCCAAAATCAATATGTTTTGTGACACAAATTCATCCAGGCACCTCCCTGGCATAGCATTTTGCTGAGTGACTGTTGACAGTAGAATTCAACCCATGGAAGATAAAATAGTTCTACTTCTCTGATTAACTTGGTGGCACCATGGGTAGGAGCAGCTGTTGCCTTTGTTTTTTTGCAGACTTGCTCAGGGGCCTTTTATGAACCTCTGATCTGCTATTGTGAGTACCACAGTTTCTACTTTGTGGCAGGATCATAGTACAGCAGCCTCTGCCTAAAGCCAGGAAAATCTAGGAGGATATAAAATTTGAAAAAGCAATCCTCATCAGTATGCAAGCCTTTCAACTTAATAGCACCTGAATTATGCATTGTGCACATAAATCTATAACTAAAAATGCTCTGGGCTTTATCCTCATGCCTGGAAAGAGGATTTCCTCAGGTAAATTTGCTTTGTGAGAGAAACCTTTACCCATAGTTTTTTATTACCACCATATCAGTTCTTTATTACTAGAAACTATTTAAGTTTGGATCTTCCAAAAGCAGGAAATATTTAAATCTATTTAAAAGTATTCTCACTTTGAAGTGTGGTTTTCTGAAGATCTCAGAGCCATAAAATATAGAGGGAATTGACCAGGAAATGGTGAGCTCAGAAGCAATTATTAGAGCAGGAAATCACTGATTATCTCTGTGTCTTAAGCAAATCGTCCACCTTCCTGGGGGGTGCTTCCTTATCCATTATTTGGAAAGAAGATGGTAATGCCTGATTTGCATTATTCTTGAAAGGCACACAAAGCAAGCAAACAGTAAGAGGGCTGCATTATTGCATGCTTATTTGGCCATGTGGTTGAATGATATGCAGTTTTCTTTTTCTCGTTCTTTTTATAGGATAACTGTTTCAGCCATGTGCTTTATGGATTTCAGCAGGTTTCCTCTTGACACTCAAAATTGTTCTCTTGAACTGGAAAGCTGTAAGTCTTACTTCCTGACAGAGGGTATACACATGATCTGAATATAACATCACAAACTTGCATATAAATAAATGTGTTTTAACAAGGATTTAAAACTTTCGATATAAGCTAAATATGTTTATCCAACATATGTAGTTGCCTTTTTTTTTTTTTTTAATTAAAGATGATAGCAAGTTGTCTCTCGTGAGAAGATTCGGTAGGGGGAGGATGCTTTGATAATTACGTATTTGTAATTTCTACAATGGTTATAAAGGAATAGCTCCCTATACAGGTGTATTCTTGCTAATATTAAGGTAGACTGACACTGACTTTCCAAGTTTGGAAAGATCTAGAATTCATGTTGCCATATGAGTCACAATCTTCCATTAAGTATACTTGGTTTCCCCCAGAAAAACTCAGGTCTAGACATAGACCCCCCTAATCAAAGTCCTGTCAAAGGGCATCTGAGCCAGTGCTTTGTCAATCACTTTGACCCTTCAGCTATTTTTGATATGACATCTTAAAAGCTGAATGCAGTTTTTCATAATGAGGCTTAATGCTGGGAACCTCAACGGATGTCTTCTACACAGATTCTGCTCCCCAAATCCATTAGAAACTTTCTATAACACTTTTGATTTTAGAAGAAAATTCTTTATGATCTCAACTCATTTTAGAATTTCATCCACAAGATCTACAAAACTAAAAGGGCCTGCAGACCTGGGGTCAGGCCTGTGACTGTAACACAGTGCTGTGATATCACTCAGTGCACACAAATATGGGAGCAGCTGTTTGGAGTGTTTTTACTCATCATGCAGGCACAAGAACAACCTCTACACTATGCCAGTCATAGGGTCTAATTTTTAGAGATTTTTTTCTTCTGATAGGTATGGGAATTGGCAAATATTTTTTGGCACCTAATGTATACAAGTCATTGGAGCAACACTAGGACAGAGCTGCATGTAATATGGTTATAGACCTCACAGAGCTTATAGAAGCTTATTCTAAGAATACTATTTTCTTGTTTTAGATGCCTACAATGAAGAGGATCTCATGCTATACTGGAAACATGGAAACAAGTCCTTAAATACTGATGAGCATATTTCCCTTTCTCAGTTCTTCATTGAGGAGTTCAGTGCATCCAGTGGATTTGCCTTCTATAGCAGCACAGGTAAAATGTTTTACATGGACAGTTCATAAGCACCTATTGTGCATCTATTATTTCCAGAGCAACATGTGAAGAGACCTGAATCCAAACGAGGGTCTCCTTTAGCCAATAATATCATCTTTCTTTTATAGGCAGCCACTTCCACCTTCCCAGGACATCATTTCTTTCCTCGTGCAGCCACTAACTGGGTGCCTTCCTTCCACGCTTGGCCCCTGCAGACTATTCTCAATACAGCAGACAGAGTGATCTCTTGAAAAACATAGAAATCATGATTCTTTTCTGCTCAGGAACCTCCAGTGTTTTTTCATCACACACAACAAAATTCAGACTTCTCCACGTGACCAACAAGGTCCTCCACGATCTGTCTCTGACCTTACCCACTACCCCAATCCACTACCACATTCTACTCTCTTTGCTTGTCCTCAAATACACCCTTCTAATGCCATCTGCAGGGCTTCTGCTCTGGCCTTTTCCTCCCACTGCCTAGAGTGTTTTTTTTTTTCCCCAATCTTCTCACAACCAGTTCCCTCATTTCATTCAGGGCTTCGTTCAAATATCATCTCCTCAAGAAGTGTTTTTCTAACCATTCTATCTAAAATAGGTCTCTTTCCTCACCGTTCCTTTTCTGTATTTGTCTTCATAGCTCTTACCACTACCTGAAATACATGTTTGTCTAACTGCTTTATTATCTGAGTGCCCAACTAGAAAGAAGGTAGGGAATCTATCTGCCTGGTTCACCATTTCTTCCCTAGTCCCTGGAATGTGTCTGGCACATTGGTGTTCAATAAATATCAGACAAATCAATTGAGTACATTGCCCCAAATAGAAAATGTATTTGAAATTGGGCCTATATTGTATACTCTTTACTATGACAGACATATTTTTGGTTTGGCAGCATTTATCTAAGACACTTTTTAAAATCGTATTTGATCCCTGTTAGCTAAAGTTAGAAGTAGCTACTTCTCCCTTGGTTATTAGCATTCTGAGCGACTTCAGGCAGAACCCATATAAGATACCATTTTAAATTCCTGAAGTCATGCTCAGGCCAGCAAGTGTGCCAGCAGCTACCCCTGTGGGTCAGAAATGCCCTGGCTGGAATCCTTGTACCCACTCCACTTTGATAGTGGTGAGTTTTCTCCCCGAAGCTGCTCTACACTGCCCTTAGCCTTTGGGGAAGAGTTATCAAGTTGTTATCTACAAGGCTGCATCATTAAGGGAGAAGTCAAAACACAGAGAAGCTAAAGGATTTTAGCACCAACAGCTATTTAGTTATTTAGATCCTGAATAAATGCTCTATTTCACACCATTATTTGTCTACATTGCTTGCGATTCAACAGATGATACTGTTAATTGTAATGAAGCTTATTTGCTTTTCTGATTTTATAAGTAACAGAGTAATTTGTTTTGATCATTGGTACATCCCTGGCACATAGTAGATGCTCAATAGCTATTGTTGAATGAATGAATAAATGGGAGATAATTTGAAAAGAATGTTTAGAAGTTTAAAGAAAAAGCTTTTGTATTTCCACCTCGTAGAGGTAACTGTGCTATTATTTTGATATATATTCTACTCCTCCTCCTCCTTTTCTTTCTCTATATAAGTAAATATGAATTTTTTTTTGGAACTTCAGCTTCCATTTAATAGCTGAACCACCAAGTCTGCACTTTTTTCCCTTAGCACTGCTTTCACCACTACCTGGCAATATCAACAAACAGGAAAGGGCTTCTGCCCATTCTTCCCTTTCATTGCCCCTCAAAATCATGCACCGTAGATTTGCAAAGGAAAAAGAAATAACTCTTGCCCATAAAGGATACATTGAAAAGTATTCTTTATTGCAGCATAACGTAGGGATTAAACGCACAAGTTCTGGAGAGTGACTACATGAGTTCAAATCCTGGCTTTATCACTGTGTGCCATATGATAAGTACTCAATAAATATTAGCTAGTAGCTATCATCATCACCATTTTAATCAATATCACCACCTAGATTCTTTCAGCACAGAAGGAGTCCTTACTATTAACAGGCCACTGAAAGTGACAGTCTTCAGGTGAAAACACTTTCTTCAGCCTGGTCTTGGGACTGACTCCCCACCTACAGCCCCTCTGTTCAATTTTCCTGGCTGCCAACTCTCCAGCCCTTTTCTCTCTTTCATAAACTCCCTTTCTTTCTACCATGTGGCAACTTGATGGAAGCAGATGGACTCTACCACCTAAAATTTGGTTCAGATGTCAAAACTGATAATGCCACACACATATCAAAAGGGTATGAAGAGACTTATTACTCACAGAATGAGGTTTTCTAGAGGGAGCAGGGCAGGCTGCCAGGCAGGTCTGAAAATGGCCTGAGAAAAGAGGGAAGAATGACTGGTTTGAGATTTTGTGGTAGTTAAGAGGGTGGAGCTGGGGCAAGGCTTCGTGGCTGAACCTTGGGTGCCAAAAGAGGGAGCACTCAGCTTTCTTATTAGTTTGCCCTGGTGTGGGACAGAACAGAAAGTGGGGCTAGAGAGATATTGGTGGTTAAGTATCACAATTGGAGTCAGACTATTACACTACCCAAAATGAGGACTCCACATCTTTCCAGGTACCACCACCATTCCTTGCCGGTAAAGGGAGCTCTTCCCGGCTTACATAGCTTCTACCACAACACCACTGCTGGTATTCCTTCCCCTGAGGAGCCACAAGACAGAGCACTGTTTCTCCTGCTTGGTTGCCCACCTCCCATCACCAAAAAAAAAAAAAAAAAAAAAAAAAAAATTCAGAAATTTATGTGTTAAAAAAAAAACCCTTGTTACCTACATTTATTTCAAGACTTAAAACCATATACATTAATGGTGTTTTTCTTTGAAGTACTTTCACAGTTTTTCCTTATCTCTTTTAATCTGCAATAATTACATGAAGCTATTATATTGGAGATGCTGTTATTCTACTCTACAGCCAAAATTAAAACTTAATTGTATGTAATACCAAAGTGGGCTTGTGACATGGATAATACAAGACAATGAGTAGCTTAAAAGTAATGTATGTTTTGATTTTAGAATGTACTATGTATCTTTTATTACCCTTGGTAATGAAATTGTTTGATATTATTAAAATGTATATCAGTTGATAGTGAGAGAGAACCTCCGAACAGGTAGGGAAGGGAAAAGTAATCAGAACTTAATTGAGATTAGAATGCTAGGAGTAGTCTGCCAATTCAGTGTAGGTTGGCTAGGTGTATGTCTTAGGCTGAATGCCTAAATATTGACCTGATTTATCTAATAAGTTTGCCACCTTGGGTTTCCCAAGAAATTACTACTGAGACTAGTAGAAGGGTTCTCTAACTTTGTAATACCTATGATTTTGTTTTATAATTTTTAACCTGTAGTCCCTGTGTTTTGAATAATTTTGCATCAAAGTACACTGCATGTATCATAGAAAAATTAATCTTACCACTTATTCATAAAGGGTATATTTTAATTTTTATTCATTTCATTATTCATTGCCTTATTTTAGATTGGCATCACAGTTATTATGAAATAAAGCAAGATAATATGAATTAGAAATGTGTGAGAAAAACTGAAAAACAAAGGTAAGGTATTACAGAGAATCTAGTATGTGGCTTTTAGAGAATGGCACTCAGAGAAGTCCTACAGATGGTCCAAAATTTTGGCTTTAAGCTTCTTTGCAGCCAATGTGAAAAGGGAAACCTGAACAAAATATATGTGTGGATGTGGCCGCAATTGGTGCTTTTGATCAGCATGAATTAATCAATATTACCAACATGAGTTTCTATAATTCTAACAAGAAGCAAAGAAACATCATTGCTTCGTTGCCTTTTTGCAGATTTATCATAGATAAATTAACAGTGTCAATGAGACTTCGAAATAAAAATAGTTTATGCATACTTCTGCTTACCCACTCTTTGAATTCCTAGCTGTCTGGATACCAATTTGGAATCTATTGACCTAGTAGCTACCGTGAATCTTTTCAGATAAAATGTTTCATTTCATTTGTCAGAGCTGATAAATGGTTCATTGGCTATTCAGTGCACTCATTGGTCATCTAGTGAAGACTCACCCACTTGCAGAAACACTGCAGACACAATTTATTTTGGAGAAAGGTCTTTAAAGACCATCCCACGAAACAGAATTACTATTCATCCCTGAACAGCAGGTATGAGATTTAAGGGGGATTTTGAGTCACATAATTAAACAGACTGTAGTTCAGTTCATTCAACTACATTGATGGAGTGCCAGGCCCAGGTTCTGGGCTGGTGCTGGATCAGCTCAGTGTTTCCTGAGATCTTGATGTCTAAAGAAGCAGGTCATTTCACTAAGTGTGGTGTTTCCATGAGGAAGCCTGTTCTAATAAAAACTGCCTTTTTCTCATAGGTTGGTATAACAGGCTTTTCATCAACTTTGTGCTAAGGAGGCATGTTTTCTTCTTCGTGCTGCAAACCTATTTCCCGGCTATGTTGATGGTGATACTGTCATGGGTTTCATTTTGGATCGACCGAAGAGCTGTTCCTGCAAGAGTTTCCCTGGGTAAGTCTTTTAATGTGAAATGTTAATATGGGAGCAAGGTTAAGGAAGGTAAACAAAAAGGGGTGGTGAGTGAAGAAAAGAGTGTCATGGTTTAGCAGCAGGGGTAGTTTGGGAAGTGAACAGCAGGTTACAGTGTTTGTCTTCACAGCTCAAGGGCAAATTATAATTGGACTCTTTCCTTGGGAACCCAGGCAGGAGGTAGGAAGGCTGTGCCAACTGACCAAGAGCTGGATGATAGTAAAGAGAGAAGTGAAATTATGAAGCATCAACAGCCTCACTTTACAGACCTATCTCTTCTCCCTTTCCGGGAACCCTCCTTACCTTGCCCCACTCCATTTCACTTTGCATGACGAACACATTGTAGAAGAAAGAAACTCCAAACTAATTCACACTATACTTTTGATATCTTAATAAATTACTTCTTGGGGGAGGCGGAAGCTTGAATTTGGAAATACAAGTGCTAGTTAGGTATTAGGGCTTAACCTAAATACTGAAATCAGAATCAACCACAGTAGAATTTTAGATAATTGTGGCATTTTAGTTGGCAAGAGATTTCAGGTGGAGAGACATCAGGCTCATTAAGTCACCACACCGATGTTATTACCTACTCCATCTGACATATTATATGTCACTGTCACACATATTGCTTTATGGGAACGATTTCAGACCCACTTAGCTGTTATATTGCATCCTTACAAAGTGGGAAGTGCCAAGTTAAGCACTTAGATAAGAGGTTACTTAATAAAAACCCAAGAGTCAATCCCACTCGCCTTCTTGGCTGGTTCAGGCCAGAACTCCCTCATTTTGACTGATTTTATTCTTTCACCTTTAATGCTCTATCTAGAGAGAAGATTGTTATTAGTGGCTCCCAATCATAGTAATTACCACACAATTCATTCCAGAAACAGTGATTTCTAAGTTAATGTTCACAAATTATATGCATACTTCAAAAAATCATTTGAAAGACATAGATTGTCATTAATATTAATAATTTGTTCACTACTTTCCCCTATTAAAAGCTTCAATCTACAAGCATTTAAGGCTTGAATATCTTCAAGGGAAAAAAAAATGCCATCTGAATGAATAATTAAATTATTGTGGCTATTACTTCACATCGGAGCAGCAGTGCCCTGACCTCAGTATGGTAGTGGGGCAGCATACACCCGAAACAGAAGACACATTTCCAGCTCTTGAGGCAGGATCAGAAAGGCATTCCATCTCTCACAGTTTAGGAATGTGTCTTTCAATCAGATTCCTGAAGCTGACTGCTCAGCTCTTACACTTTGAAAATGACAGCAATAAAAGCTGGTTCCAGGACAAGTTGGGGTGAATGGAGAACACTGAAATGCATTTAAGCTGCTCCTGAAATTTTGTGCTTCCTGCATCTACATCTGATCCCTCAGGGTTAAGAAATTGCTATACAGATTTATATAAATAATATACAAGTCAGAAGTGCTCTCCCCCCACCTTTTTTTTAAATAAAGAGAATTGCAGTATTCCTATACAGCTATCCTCTTATGGCTTTTGCTTCCTACAGCCCTCAAGCTTTTTCTAAAATATTTTGCCCTCTGCTTTACTCACTCCTCCCAAATGCTGTGAGATCCAATTCTGTGGCAGGTCACTCTGACTACATCTGTCTATCCCTCTTGCCTTTTCTCAGTTGTTGCCCTCCTTCACTTTCTCTGAAGCATTTGACACTATTAAGCATCCTCTCAAATTCAGAACAAAGTGTAGTGGTCAGGACCCCAGCTTCATCTTCCTCGTCTGCAAAATGAAGTTAGTAAAACAACCTCCTGAGGGCCACTGTGGAAATTAAATGGGGGCATTCATGCCAACTGGCCCAGCGTTTGATAAAACCAAACAAACAATAAATATGTTTTATTTTTTCTGCACTATTATGGTTTTTCTCCTTTTTTAGATTGTCTTTTCATTTCTCTTTCCCAATTTTTACTTCTTTCTTCCATTCTTTAAGTATAGCCAATTCTCTTCCAAAGTTTTCTTTATTTTTGATTCTCTCATCAAATGGAAGAACTCTCTTCTAACTACTGTCTTTATGAAAGTAAATCCCAAATCTATGTCCTCATCTCAAATTTTTCTCTCAAGTTCCAGAGAAGTATTTCCAGCTGCCCTCTGAACTTCACCTTCAAGTCTACAGGCACTCAGCACATTCAAAACAGAACAAACTATTCTTCCCAGAATGCTCAAATCCCTCTTATTCTCTTGACTTTCCTCATTCTGTTAATTCATTCATTGAGTCTTTCATGTCTACGCCTCAATTTCCTTCTTAGTCTTTGGCAGTGATTCACAAACTCTGATCTTAGGACCCATTTACACTTTAAAAATTAAGGACCCCAGAGATCTTTAGTTTTTGTGGGTTATATTTATCATTATTAGCCATGTTGGCTAGTAAAACAGAATTTTTGAAAATATGTATTGATCCTTTTAAAAATAGTGATACTAAATTCATTGCAAGTTAATATAACATATATGAAAAATAAGTGTTTTTTCCTAAAATGAAAAAAATTAGTGAGAAGAGTAGCATTGTTTTACATTTTTGTAAACCTTTAATGTCTGACTTTATGGAGGGCAACTGGCTTCTCATCCCTGCTTCTTCAATCTGTTGTAATAGGTTTTATTTGAAATATAGAAAGAAATCTGGCCTCACTCGGTTGGAGAAAAGAATCATATTTTCATAGTGTTTTCAAGTAATTGTACATTGTCTTCCCTGACATTGCACCGAAACTCAGCAAATGATAATTTCTTAAAGGTTAGTTGCCATGTGGAGTCTGAAACCATATCAGTAAAGTTTTGCTGATCTATTAGATTAAAATCCATTGATCTCTTTTGTATCATGACTAAGTCTGTTTATATATGCATTGGTCACTTGAAAAATATTGGTGTACTGAGTTATACAGATCTTCCCAATGTTCACATAATTCATCATACAATATAAAAAAAAATTCATTTGTTAATATCACCACTAATCTCATCAAAAAGTTTTTCAGTAGTGGGAAGCTTTCAAGCTCACGGTGATAGATACAATTTTAACATCTTTCTAGTTTGGGCTTAAAAGCTCAAATTTTATCATTTGGCAATAAATACCATGAGTTATTCTACCTCAAGTGATAGGCTTACTTTACTCAGTTTTGAGAAAATGTCTGTCAGTTACCCAAATCTGAACAACCATACTTTATCTGTCAGTTGTTCTTTTGAGGAAAAGTGATGTTCCATTTGAAAAAAGTGTCCAGTGTTCAGCTCACAACTTGATTGCCTGATTGCTTTTTCTTAAGACAGCCACCCTACTTTGTATGCAGAAGGCTTTTATGTATATTTCTCATTTCATCAACCGGAATGTTAAAAAGACATGTCCTCAAGGGCTCTAATTTAGTTAAATTAACAGTTTTTACTGATTTTATTTTCATTGTGATGCTGGGAGTTGGAGAATACAGTGACTGCTAGGTCAGTTATGTGCTGCTGCCTTCATTCATGCTAAAGCAACAACAGTTTTTCCAACCATTACCTTATACCATCAGTGCAAATATCAACACAGTAAAAAAAAAGAAAAAAAAAGGTAAATAATGTCTTAGTATGGTTATGAAACTTATTTTCACTATCAAGATCCTCTGAAAATGTCTTGGAGACCCCAAAGGATCCACTGATCGCACTTTGAAAATTATGGCTATAAGGTATCTAACTCTTTAAAGTCAGTCTTCTCTATGAAATGTCCTCAAATGTGCTTATTCTTTCTTTTCCATTGCTCTTGTCTTGGTGATGCTGGGCCCCTTGTTAACTTTGCCCTGGACTGCCCTAACAGACCCCTACCTGCCCAGGGCCCTCTTGCAAGCTTTGTGACATGCTACCCAGAGGACAATAGGAAGCAGAAATCCAGCTCAAGCTCCATGGGACATGGTTTGGGGTGACATTCTCAAGAGGAAAGGACACTCTTTGCTAATTTGTACAAAACAGTAGCATGGATTTGTAGAGGTCTGTAATTGATCATTTTACCTCTTGCTCTTCTTGTCCCAGTTTAATCCTGCTGCAGAGTAGTAGCTCTAAAACACAAATCTGATCACAATATTCTCATCTTGAATGCCATTGGTATAAATACTTTCACCTTGGAATCTAAAGTGTTCCTTGAGGGTTGTCAGATGGAATACAGCACAATTGGTGAAATACAAATTTTTGATAAGCACCAAATAATGTTTTAGTATAATTTTATACCAAATATTGCATGGGACAAACAACAAATGTTATTTGTTGTTTATCTGAAATTCAAATATAACTGAGTGTCCTGAATTTTTATTTGCTAGATCTTCACCCATACTCTTGTTCCAATATACTTGCCCTAAGTTTTAAACAATTTTATCATTTAGTGTTCTCAAACAGGGCCCCATGCCTGACTGCTTATCTCAACTCTGTACATTTATTCTGCCTCTCACTCTGCCCAGAATGTCCTTCTTACATGTTTTTGTTGTTGTTGTTGTTGTTGTTGTTTTTCTGTCAAAATCCTGCCATCTCTCAATGGCCAGAGCCTTTACTGATGACTGCAAGCAGACATGGTCTTTCTCATTTCTGAACCACATGGCACTTTGTATCTCTCCTAAGTGACCTTGCTTCTTCTAATTTATGTTTAGATATGGGGTGAGTTAGTAGCCTGTCTTGTCTCTTCTAGTAGAATGTGAGTTCCTTAAGAAAAGTAATCAGTACAGTGTTGTGCACATATTTTGTGCTTAATACATACATAACAATACAATTGTTAAATCACCAGCGTTTAATCTACTATGTTTTTAATAATTGTATTTTTGTTACTAACTGAAAACAATTCATTGCTGATTAAGACCCTTTTACATTTATCGTGTAAATGTAAAAGGGTCTTAATCAGCAATGAATTGTTTTCAGTTAGTAACAAAAATACGATATTCAACATTAGAGGTTGAATAGCATAGAAATGTCAATTGTGATTAGGCAATTCTCATGAGAGATAACAATCATAACTTGGAATGTGTAATGGGTTAAAAATACTATTCTATCTTTCCATCTGATTTTGTGTGGAGAGAGAGTAAGACTATTATAAAGCTATTCAAGGACATTTTAACTCTCATGGAAGAAGAAGTATTATTGTATTTTCTTCTCCCCCTTCTGTCTCCCTCCTTCTTTCCTTACCTCCATACTTCTCACTTGGTCCCTCTGCATGGAATATATCATTCATAACCAATGTATTAAGTAATGGGTTTGTTTGCCAGGAAACAGTCGTGGCAGAGAAAGGCAACTAAAGCTTTCACTCATAAAGAAAAATGTCTTCTAACAGAGGATATGCCATATACCTAGAAAAGTAAGCACTTAGGAGCAGTTCATTTAACCATCATAGAGATTATCAGAGTTTCTCGGCACTAGAATCTGGTGCTACCTTTGTGGGATACAGTTGTTAGTTTCTGGCCATAACTGTGTTGGGATATCTAGCCTATCTTCCTTTCCTTCACATTCCTTCACACTGAATATTTTCTTTCTTCCTAGGCTTACAGGGAAAATGTTTGTACTCATTTAAAGGTGAATGTAGATACATAAGCCTTCAAAAGAGCTATACCCACAACCGAAGGGAGCAAACTGACTCAACCTTTCTATAAGTGATGCCTACATGCCCAACTGTTATTACACTGGTCAACAAACCTCTCCATTGTGTTTGGGGGGAAAAATGGCCAATGAAGCACAAAAATAACTCTCCCCAGACTGAATAATTCTTAGGACCCCATATGTGTCCTTAAGAGTTAATATGGTGAAACCACAAGGGCTCAGGAGAGCCAAGTCTCATGGGCCAGACTAAATATTGTCTTATAACACTTTCCTAACTATGCATAGCAGTATTGGTATGTGGGAAGATAATGTTCTAATCCCAATACAGGACCTTTCTTTGACGAAATGGTCACTCAATATAATTCAAAACTCCTTTATTGAGATGTTAACTTTAATATGTTTGAAAGGAATGCTATTTGTCAAGATTAATGTATTTCTAAGGGGCAGCTCAAGACATAGTGTGTTTAATGTAGCTGTAATACTCCTTGACTCCAAGTTCTATTGCTTGGGGAATATACTTTCAGTTTCCTCATCCTTTACTCCTTGTACTTAACAATCTCTCCTCCCACTCTCTATTTCTTTCTTTCTTCCTTTTCTTTCTTTTTTTCCCATTATTTTACATAAGGAAAATCTAGTATGCTGGTTTCAAAATAAATAAAGCTATAGTAAATTAGTTGGACTAGGCACCCTTTTAAAGAAAATAGCTGATAATTTATTGCTGTCTGGCAAATATAGATAATACAATTACCTTTTATAGCCCAAGAGTCATCAATTTAAAAGACACGACAAGACCTATCTGGTATGTAAACTAGTGTTTGTTCTAAACCATTATTTTGTCTGTTAAGTTCCATGTTACTGTCCATTGAAAAAAATGAAGTCGTATTTTCCATATCATAAAAAACCAGTAAGAGAAGATATTTTAAAATTTTGAACTAATGAAGTAAGCTACGAAATAGGAACATTAGTTTAGGATTCATTCAATTTTACCAGTGAAATCTAGAAGAGAAGAAGACTTTTGGCCTATTGAAAAGCACAAAGCACCTTCATGCTTCCTGACATAATTCTACACTCAATTTTATAGCGTCTTCTCTCAGAGATGCTCCATCTGTAGAGACTGGTTTATAATCTTAAAAACAAGAGGAATTACCCTTTACAGAATGAGAGGCAGCACGTTTGCATGTAAAAAGCATAGGTTCTATACCCAGAGAGAAAGGTTTCAATCCTGCTCCTGAAGAAACTCAGGCTAATTACTTAGCCACTCTCAGCTCATCTTTCTTTTCTGCAACATGTGGCAAATAATATTTATCTAGGTTTGTGCTGAATAAACATTTCATAAAGGCAACCAAATTTTCTTTAATAATCTTGGCCTCAGCTACACGAACATCTGTAATGTTAATCAAAATTTCACATCTCTATATTTATGTGGCAAGGAATGCGAACAGCGTCCACCAATATGCAAATCCTTGATGTTACCACTCTTAGGGAAACCTGAAACTCAGCGAGATGGTAGCCTGCTTCTAATGGTAAGAGCTAGGATAGCATTTAGGTTTCTTTTTCTAGAGTTAAATCAGTGCGAAGGTGAGATCCAGGCCCTCCGTAGTTACTGTCAAGTTGTCAGATTGTGTTGGTCTTTATCATACAAACAGGAAAACTTCATTTGAAATTGAATAGCTCTACAGAGTTGTCATTGTCTGTCATTGTCATTTCCCTCAAACGAGAACCTTGCAGAGTTATTGTAGAAAGGGCAGAAATATGTTGGTGAAAGCTGTCCACACGCTGCGTCTGTACATTTAGGAGTAAATCACCGTGCTCTTCCTGCTGTTCTGGACTCTGTCTGTTGACATTAAAATGTCCTCACAACTTATAAAAATCATTAAGGATTCCATTTGCACTTCCCTAGTGGGAAGTTAAGAAATAAAACCATGCCAGCCAGTGTACATTTCAAATATTTACAATACTATACTTTCTCTCTAGGCAGTACTTTGGCAGTATCCCTCTGAGAAATTAGTGTAGACACAGAATAGCCTTCCCCAAAGCTGGCATTTTATTAAGGAAATCTCAGAGTCACTTCTTCTTACTCCATTGTCCCCCAGAGCCCTGATCTCTTACTTCTGATGCTCATGCCAGAGAATAAAGAAGGAAAAGAAAAAGAAAAAACAGAAAAGAGAAGACTAAGGTAGTGGGAAGGGAGAGAAAGGGAAGAGAAAAAAAGGGAGAGAGTGGAAAACAAGGGCAAAGGAGGAGAGGGGAGGTTACAAAAGTAACTGGCATTCAGGAGTCATTTAGTACACATTTACACTGGACTGAGCCTCCACTATCACACTTCCATTCTGAATTTCAGTTGAACTGGAGTTCAGTGATAAGGGACAAAGTATAGCAATAATGATGGCTTATAAGTATTCTATTGAGAATAGCTGTCATTAATTCTATAAAGATCACTCTTCAATGAATGAAAGACTTAAAAGGAGACACTGAGATAATTTCCTAACAGTAAAAGTTGTAAAGTGATGAGAAAGGGTAATGAAAATAATTTTGGAATTTCTTTCCTAGGAGACTATTTTAAAATTGAATATGTTTTTACCTTTCTGGGATGGTTAGAAGAGGCCCATCTCAGGGAGAGAAGCACTGAGTCCCAAAAGTCATGTCTGATTCTGTGATGTCTTTAGATGGAAGGAAAGAAACGTTATGGACAATGGGGGTGAGGGCAAGAAAAAGAGGTAGAAAGAGAAATCCAAGGGGAGCTTCTTGCTTAGGCTGAAGATGCGAACTGGGTGAACATGCAGAGCTTCCCTACCGCCCACCACCCTTTGATCACCAGATTGATGTTGTTCTAGATATTGATATTGATATTGACATTGAAATGTGTCCCCCTGGTGTAATCCAGCACCAGATTCTGGAACTGAATGGTTATGTCACTGATCTTGTCACCATTCTCAAATGGCAGGAATCACCACGGTGCTGACCATGTCCACGATCATCTCTGGCATGAGCGCCTCCATGCCCCAGGTGTCCTACATCAAGGCTGTGGACGTGTACCTTTGGGTCAGCTCCCTCTTTGTGTTCCTGTCAATCATTGAGTATGCAGCCGTGAACTACCTCACCACAGTGGAAGAACGGAAACAATTCAGGAAGACAGGAAAGGTACTACATTGCTTTGATTATCAGATGCCTTTTGGAATGTGAAAATGATTATCCTCATCTATAATCCTCTCCCGACAGCATTGTCAGCCCTTGTATTAAGTACATATGTCTTAGCAAGATGCAAGTTTACATGATAGTGACATTTTAATATTGAACTTTATTCTCTGTGTTGGCTGGTTTCCTAAGCATCTTCATTTACCTTCAACAGGCGTTTTTGTGTGTTTATGTGAGGAATTCTGTGTGCTCCTCTCAACCACATCCTTTCAAGTAAATGATGATGATACTAGTAACAGCTAACATTTAATGAGTATTTATTATGTATGTATTGGCATTGTGCTGACCACCTAACATATATTATGTCATTTAATACTCAAAGTAACCCGAAGAGGCTGGTACTTTATCACTTTTATTTTATGGAAGTGAAATAAGAGCAGGTGGATAGTAACTTGACTGAGGCCACACAGCTCAAAAGGAATTAAGATTTGCTTCTGGGTCTCCCTGACTCAGACTCTCCTGCCAACCAATAAATGATATGTTTTTCTTCACCAAGAGCTAGGATTATTTCTCTCTTCCTGTTTCTTGAGAGTCTGGGAGAGTATAAAGGGAAAATCTCCTCACAAGTATACTAGGAACAAGGTGCTTTCTAGGTTTTAAATGTTCTTACACAGTTTTTGTGATATTTCATTATAAATGCCAATAGATTGATCTTTACCTGCTTCATATCACAAATAATTGGGGCATTAGTTCCTTGTTATTATAACTGACCTACAATATTGTATTTCAGAAAGCTAACTGATCAAATTAATTCATTTGCTAGCATACACTTGAGACTATATATGTATATATAGACATATACTCACATATGCAAATAATTTTAATGTAATATTTTCACATTGGTTTAAAAAATTCTTATATGAGCATTTATACACACCCAAAACATTATTTTATATTTTTTATACTTCCAATGAGGACATTTCGTACTTTTAAGAATGTTTTTATAGCCTCTCCTCCAACTGAACCCTCATACCAGCTTCCTAATGTAGGCCTTGCAGAAATTATTATCTCTATTTTTAAAATGAAGAAACAGAGTTTTAGTGCAGTAAAGTGATTTGTCAAAAGATTCACAGCCAACAGAGCTGCAACTGCAATTCAGTTCTCCTGCAATGCTAATTTCATTCTTTTATTTTATATCCTTTGAGTCAAAGCTGTAATAGGAGCTGATTTAGCTTTATTGCAGATGCTTCAATTTCTTTTGTTGACAGTATATGACAAATGTCCCTGTCACATACATACACCACAGTGGCTACTCTGCAGGTATGAGAAAACCATAAGCTTATAGACAAGTGTGCAGTAACAGGTATGTACGCATCACTTGGGACTAGTCACTTTTTATCCAGTAGATCTGGGATGGGATCTGAGAGTCTGCATTTCTAACACACCCCAGATGCTGCTGATCTATTTCCCACACTGTGAATACTAATGATTTAGATCATCTATGAAGTGAAAGGTGACAAGAAAAAAATGTGAGACAAATGAAAGGATTTGTTGTTCTTGTTTTGTTTTGTTTCTATATGAGGAGTGGTTAACCCAAGAAAGAGGCACTGAATTAATTTGGGCCCACCTCTATCTAGTCATTTGACTTTAAAATATCTATGTCTCTTTGCCCCCACCTGTTCACAATACACATGTGTTAACCCTACCTCAATTGTTTAATTTGATGGGGTTGTACACAATCTTCTTGTGTACCACTGAGAAGAGATTCTTTTGGGTTAACGAGCATCATCTATTTTGAAAATTATTTTTTGTTTTTAATTGTGGTAAATACAAATAACATAGAACTTATCATCTTAATAGTTAAGTGTACAGTTAAGTACTGTTAAGTTTATTCACATTGTTGTACAACCAATCTCCAGAAATTTTTCATCTTGTAAAACTGAGATTCTGTACCCATTAAACTCCCCCATTTCTCCCTTTCCCCAGCTTCTGGAAACCACCATTCTAAGCATCCTCCTTTAGGGTGCAATTATCTTAAAGATATATCCTACCTGACATTTATATAGTTATGGGACAAAATGAAAGAGCACAAGATTTGGAGTCAGAAGTGATGACAAATCTAACTCTACCACTTTCTAGCTTTGTTTCCAGGCTATTTCTCCTAATCTTCATTCTGCATTTGCAAAATGGTGGAATTTCTTCCCTTTTTACCTCACAGGACTGTTGTGAAGATCAAATTACATAATAAATAAGTCTGAGATTTTCACAAACTATAAAGTTTAAAATTGTGGATATATGTTAAATTCTTATTGTGGTTAGTGCTCAGAGCATATGGTGTAAAGGTGTACCTAAACTCAAGCAGTTTGTCACTTGGGGTGTTCTATTCAAAAACAAAACTGTGGTCATCCTTAGGTAGTTTTATTTACTTGCAGCAAGTAAAGAAGACAGGGGATTCACATCCAAAGCTCTGTCTCCCTGAAGGGAGTCTTAGCCACTGTTTATATGCACTATTTGGTCAATTACATGTTGCTTTCTTCTTTTGAAGTTGGCTGGTCACACTTATCTGGTTGGGTTCCAGGCACCCTCATCCTGCTTATAGTTGTGTCTGCAAAGTACTGTACTACACTTTAACATTTAGCAAGAATAGCATTTAGTAAGAACCACCCAGACCTTGAGACCCTTGTCCTGTCTAACAAAGGAATAGGAGTTTTAATAGAGAGAGTGGGAACGGGCTGTCTGAGATGAGAGCTCTTTCAAGGCATAGGATGCCCTAGTGAGGGGCAGGATAAAAGCGTAAGACAGTGGGTTTGGGGTTAATCAATGATACCTCTCTCCTCAGAATTAGGAAACCAGTTTTAGAGAGAAGAGAGTTGTACGATCTAGACAGATGGATATGATGATGTCACCTTTGTTATTGATAAAGCAGTTTGGAGAAAGCAGCTTAGTTAGATCTGAGAGCAGGAGGCTTCATTAATACTCCATCACCAAATTAAAAGTACTTATTCTCTTGGTTGCTGGTGAAGCTAGACAATTCAGGACTCTCCTTGTAGAAACAGTTTCCTTTTACCTTATTTCAGAGATCAAACCTAGACTCCGATGTGGATTACTGAGTGAGGACTCGAAAAAGATTGAGTCACCCATGCCAGTTTCTTCTCCCAAATCCCTAGGAGTGGAGTGATTGAGGGTTAGTGAGAAAGGCCAGGAATGTTAAGCTCATGTAGTTCCTATGAAATCATGAAGTTAAGCAAAGCTCATTTCCTGACACCACACACGTCCCAACTACCCACCAGATACCAAGAGCTGGGAGAACGGCAAGGGCGGTGGAAAACTTATCCCTAGTGTTGACCTTTGTCCAAGAAGGAGAAAGGAAGCTATTTTTTTTTCTTATTCCTTCATCCGAATGTTTTCCTAATTCCAGGATTTAGGAGTTAGTCTAAAATGGTCAAATTTATAGTTAAAATATAATATGTCTTTATTATGTGCTTATGTATAGGCAAAAGTGAAAAATTAAAAAAACACTTCTAAAACTGTTTCTACTGGAACAACCAACTTTTAAACATGTGGAAATGAAGAGGAATTTTCACTCAAAAAGCTAATCAGCTCTTTGTTCTGCTTTTGTAGATATGCTTGCTACATAGGCTGTACTTGAAATTAACTAAAGACTCATTTTCCCTTTTGCTTGTTCTGTCTAAGCAACAAATGTAACTGCCTGTACCCTCTAGCAACTAAAACACACTTTGTAACTCTTTATAACTGCCTGCAACCCATAGCAACTCCCATGCTTTGTAACCATCTGATGACAAATTAACCAATCAGCTCATGCCAAATAAATTTTACATAAGCAACGTTGCAACTGAGCTCCAGGCCCAGATCTTCAGAGGCCTAGTTCTTCTGGGACCACTGGTGTAATAAACCTGAGTTCTCCAACTCTCCAAGTGCTGCTTGGTTTCTTGCCAGTCTGATTTTTGCAACTTTTCTGCAACAGAAATTAGCAGCCTACTGGTAAAATTGTATATTGCAAGATTTAGTCAATTATATAGATAATCCTCAATTATGATGAAAAAAGAAAATGGCCCCTTGCTCTCCACAGAAGATTATGTCTTCTTCAACAAAATAATGACATTTTTGTTAGGATTAAAAAGTGATTGTTCAGTGGGATTGTTACCGTTGGGGTGATCTAAAACCCATCAGTGCCCCAGTAGCACTGAGGGGTCCTCAGTTCTTTTTATTGGTACAGTAAAGACTAACTAATCAATGAGATTTAGGAAGAGTAAGGTTTATTGAAAGTACATTTCAAGAAAGAAATGGGCTATGCAAGAGAAGGCTGCAGCAGCCTGGCGGGGGGGGAGTGGGGAAGTATGATTAAAGTACACTGCAGGGAGGGGCAGGTTATAGTGAAGAGGGCTATAACCCTGTGGAGTGGGGAGGTCTGTATTATATTAGGGCAATGATGGGAGGTACAAGGGTAGTGCTAGATGACTGGCGTGGAGGTAATTTTGATTGACATTTGGCCGTTATATAACCCTTTTGTCTACTGTACATGTGCTTACCCAGAATTCAGTCTGTTACAATTAAATTCATGAACTTCCAGGCATAGGCATGATATTATAATGATAGTATAATGAGGCCAGATCACAGGAGGTTAGTGTAGCACTGATTGCACATGCACTTGTGGCTGAATTAAACCAGCTACTAGTTTATGGCTCTTCATTCCTTTGAACCTCAGGATGTAGAGATAACTTATAACCATAAAATGGAGGTTCTAGAAAGGTCCTAAGGGAGGTCTCTGGGAAGGGCCTTCATTCCCTAGTTGCCCATATCTACTTAACTACCTAACAGGATGACTCAGCAGTATTCTGGGTGGCTAGAGAAACTACTAAAGAGAGACTGTACATAGTTATTCTATCTTCAACCCCAGAGTTGAATATATTGTTAGTGTTATTATTGGCTACCTGAGGTTATTCAGCCTTGATCTCATTTCATGTTTATTTTGCCCATTTTCATTTTACTATGAAAGTTTCTACAATTAAAACAAAAAAGTACAACATAACTGATTAATTTACAGACTACACAGAATAGTCTCCATGTTTTTTATTTAATTTTAAAATTTATTTTAATTTTTTGGCTGAATATAAAAGGTATATATTTTTTTTCAATTACAGTTGGCATTCATTAGTTTCAGGTGTACAGCATAGTGGTTAGACATTTATATAACTTACAAAGTGATCCCCCCAATAATTCGAGTACCCACCTGGCACCATATGTAGACTATATTCCCTATGCTGTACTTTACATCCCTGTGATATTTTGTAACTGCCAATTTGTACTACTTCACACCTTTACCTTTTTTACCCAGCTCCCCAACCCCTTTCCCATCTGGCAACCATCAGTTTGTTTTCTGTATCTATGAGTTTGTTTCAGTTTTTTTTGTTGGTTTATTTTGTTTTTTTTAGCTTTCATATATAACTGAAATCATCTAGTGTTTGTCTTTCTCTGTCTGAATTATTTCTACACTTCATGTCTTTTGAATTCAGTAAAATATTGGGTTTTTAAATCACTATGAACCAAATAAACATTTTTGGCAGAATGTACTTCGCTGCCTCCATTTTGAATTCTGAATAATTTTATCCAGGAGTAGCTGTTCATATTTGTTCATTTTTTAACTTCCCTATAGATCAAGAAGTGATTTGGTTTTCTCAGAAAGTAATTAGTGACAGCTGCTTCGTAGACACTGCTTTGTACCAATGATAACTGCTATCTCCCTCAGAGTAAAACATTAAAGAGAAACGGTAGTTTAGATTCAATCAAGCACTGGAGCCAGAGAGCATTGTTAATTCACTCCTTCCAAAAAATAGGCCAATTTTAAGTTGTTTAATTGGGTTGTGTTAGTATCATTTATCGGTGCTTCACAGCAAAAAATGGGAAAGCTTGGCCAATTTGCATTTTATAAGAGTAGCTAAAATCATTCATACCCCCACTTGAAATTTAAGCATAAATGGATCACCAGATGATATTGTTCTGTTTTTGGACAAAAAAAACAACAACAACAACAAAAAAACCCCCCACACTTACTGGGCATACTGTTCTGTTTTCTCTAAAGAAGAAAAATACATTGAAAAGCAAGTCCAATTGGCTTATACTGCTCTTCTGATAAATCATGTTCAATTTCAACTCACAAACTTATGCCAAACATTTCATACTACTCAGAAACAAAGAGGAAAACCTGAAACTGTTTATTTCTGGGTGAACATGCATTGAGTGTAACAGTCTATCAGGCCAGGACTAAATTAGAAAACATTGATACTATAGTTTTGTAACATTTATTTCTATAATGCTCAAAAACCTCTATGGAAATAATTATAAACCTTGCCAAATTTCTATTAAAAATGGATCTCCAAGATAATATTTTCCATTTTTATTAAAATTACTTTTAGTCAGATACCAGAAGCAAAACCAGAATTCTATTCTTTGAAATAAGCAAAACATTCTTAGCATTTATCAGAACTATTTTTAAAGCCTGATTGTTTAGATTTGTACTGTAATTCCTATTCATAAAACCATATTCATGACTTACTAATAAAAGCCTTTTTTATCAGATTTCTGGAATGTACAACATTGATGTTGTTCAAGCTATGGCCTTTGATGGCTGTTACCATGACAGCGAGACTGACCTGGACCAGACTTCCATTTCTCTCCACTCAGAAGAGGACTCCATTCGAGGAAGATTCACAGGCAGCCCCAGTGCAGATTCACCTCGGATAAAGAGAAGGAAATCCTTAGGAGGGCACACTGGCAGAATCATTCTGGAGAACAACCATGTCATCGACACCTATTCAAGGATTTTATTTCCCATTGTGTACATTATCTTTAATTTGGTTTACTGGGGTATATATGTGTGAAGAGGAATCCCCGATGTATAAAACTTGTGTTGGAGTCAGCGTATATTCAACAACAACGACAACAAACGACTCTTGACAAAAATTTGGACAGTACTAGAGTGAACTAAATATCAGCCAGTTACATCTTCTGGTCTAAAGAAGATGTGAAAGTTGACTGATTTACATCAGAGTTCAAGGTTGTAGGAGAATTTGGCTCCATAAATAAGAGTCACAGTCATGCATATTATGGAAAAATAATTTGTAACTCCTTCATCTGGATCCTCCTTTCTTTCTAAATGTAAATTTCATGTATTTAAGGAATAAAACTAGATTATGACAATAATTCAAGAAGAGTTTGTTCCTTAGTGCTAGCCAAATGCCAAATTACCTAACAGAGATGAATCCTCCTAAGGAAGAACACATCATGTCGGTGGAACCATGGACACTCATACAGCTGAGTCCCATGAAGAGCCTCCCTCTGCCATCTCCAATGTTTTATCTTACATCACTAATAAGTTTCATATATTATTTCATATAAAACTGTGAACTTCACTCAGTCTTCCCATCCTAATGTTAATACATCACACACTTCAATAATAGCATCTTATATTTTGTAGTTGAGGTATAGCTTTCATAGTTTTTTGGAGTTATTTAATTAATTACTTTATTCAACCAAATGTTTATTGACCTCCTACATGTGCCATGCATTTTATTAGGTGTTATGTACTAAAAAAAAAATGAATACAAAATGACATTTCTGCCATCAGTGAGTGCACAGCCTAGCAGAAACAGTGAACTGGTAGGTACAATAAATAACAAATGTAATGAATGTTAAATTAGAGGTATATAGACAGTACTCACTTTGCTGTCTGAGTTCTAAAAACGGGATATCAAAGGAGAGTCCACAAAGGGATGTGGACTCTCAATTTATAAATAACCGAAGATGCTTCCAGACATTATTGAGTAAAAAAATTGAATAAAATTTGTATATTCCATAGTAATCTTTAGTAACTTTGGTTGAACCAAGTAAATCAGGTCAAGTGGGTATTAAATAGATGTTTGTTAAGTAGAAAAACCTCCAAAAAAAAAACCCCCATTCATTTCATAGACTGGTAGTGTGCATGCTTTTGTGTTGGTATTTTGTGGAAAAGATTCCATTTAGAGATAAGCCCTTTGTAGGAAGAATGAAATTTCCTTTCCTATTTTGAATTCTGGGATTGAATTTAGGGAAATAAACAGTGTATTGCTTTCAGCATCTTGCCATTTATTTCACCATAAAGTGAACCAAATGATTTGAATGATTTCTTGCCAGGTGAAGAGACAAATAACTTCCCACTGTTTACCAGTAACAATGTTTTTGATTCTCTCTGTGAATGACGTAGGGTTCTAGAAACTTATCTTCTCCTTGGTTGTAAAAGATTTAAAAGCATTAAATTGGTTGTAAAAGATTTTAAAAGATTTAAAAGTTTCCTCATATAAGAATTCTGGGATACTCCATTTTTTCTTAATACTTTTCTAATTCTTTCAAAATTTTCCCCAAATTATGTTTTTCTAGGAAACTGTCCAAAATTGAGCTAATATAGCTTATTCAAAACTTTTTTCCATTTAATTGTATCTAGACCATAAAATTTAAAACTATTTATTTAATAGTGTTTAAGCTTGATTTAAAAGGGATATTATTTTCATAAGATTTTATTTTCAAAATATAGAATAGATTAATATCCTAAGTGGTTCTTTGGGAATTTGTTGCTATTATTTAAGCTGAGTACTAATGTTGGATTAACATTTCTGATTCTGACATACTTTTATATAACTGGTGTTTAAAAAAAAAAAATCTATAAATGAACGGAAAAAATCTACATTGTTCCCTTCTTCAAATTCTGGTTCTTCGGACATAGCTGTTTTTGAACTATAACATTTTGCATGTATGATGCTTCCCATGGGCATATTCATTTCACGACTTTAAATCAAATGCTTGGCTGAACACATTTGGCAATCTGGGCTACAAGAACAGGTCACTCTCATACTACACATATATTCAGCACTCCTATTGAGGAGCAATAATGAAAGATTGTTGGCCAATCAAACATGACTGCTTGTTAATGCCTAGAAATGCAGGCATCATGTTCTTCAGTAGTAAATGTCTAACACTGAGAAAGAAAATCTGTTTACTGCTTAAGTGAATTATTAGAGCATTCAGAATGAGCTCCTAGGATTTTAGCCAGTTTCTTCTCAAATCAGTGGCTGGTGAAAACTGTGAGAACAGAGTTATTCTTGTGAGTTTCATTTCTGCTGCTGTGTGGCAAGGGTTCTCATTCAGTTATTTCAAGAAGAATGAAATGCCATTTACATGAGAAATATGTGACAGACAGCATATAATAGTTTCTCATTTTGATTTTCACTTTATTTACTGATGACAATCTGAAACAGAACATGTGTGATTGTTCACTGTTGGGTAAGCCTGGATAAAATGCAAGGATTTCAGAAAATAAGCTGCTTTCTAAGATTAAGAAAAAGCCAACCAGCTCTGTAAACTGCCTAAATATAGAAATGGGCTACTTTATACGTACTGGTCTGGAAAAGCAATGAAGAGATATATTTTTAATTTAATTTTATTGTTTTTGTTCTGATTATAAAATATGATTTCATTATAAAAATTAAAAATACCAATTGGCAAAAGAATCATCCACTCAGAATTAAAGTTAACATTTTAATGTATATTCTTAGTTTTTCTATGCATACTTTTAATGAAACCATTTTGTATATAATCTATTAATTTAAACTCTTATAACAAACACTGTGCTGGGGATACAGTAACAAAAGATGGTGGTAGTCCCAGACTGTTTTTTTAAGGAGACATTTCCTTTATTTCCTATTGTGTACTATTATAATGTGTTGAAATTAGCAACACAAAGAATATTTAGAGGTAAAATTTTTTTTTGAAAACAAATGAAATTTCTAGCTACATCTAATTTTCAGCATTTCTTTCTTTTTCAAGAATCACTGTTTGCCCCTACTATCTGCCACATCAGGCTCAGTCACTTATCTATCCAGAAGCTCTGGGGTAATAATTATTGTAACTGAAGAAACTTTTTCATTCTCAGTTCATTTTTTTTCCCCCAAAGCAAAGCCTTATAGATATCTGCTGGCATTCCCTTTATATAATAGAAGTTTCAGCATTGTATAAAACACTTATATTAAAGCAGTTCCATTTATTGAAAACCTGCTTCCTTCCATGACTGTTATTGTCACTACAAGCCATCTTTGTAAGTATAAGAGTAACTGAGATTGCAAATATTTGCATAAAAATTGCTAGAAAATCATCCTTTATGATTATATTGTCTTAATCCTTGCAGGTGGGGTAGTTTTCATGAGTAAGGTCTATCATTTTGTATTGTGCCATTCATAAGCCTGTTGAAATCACACACACATACACACATATACATATAATTTTTTTTAACGTGGAGATTAACGGGGAAAAGAATTATATGCAATTCTATAATCATCACTAGAGTCAAAATTCCAATAAAATTAAACAACACCCTCAAGCAATAGAAAGAGGTGGTGAGGAAATTGCTATTTCAACTACAATTCTGTATCTAGTGCTACTGCTATTTCCTGGCAGGGCCTTTGACAAAGCAGTCTGTGTTACATATACTTCACCATTTATGCTTTAAAACAATGAAACTGTGAAGCCCTGCTTATTTTCAAAGTCATATAACTTTCCAACAGCATTTTGACTTCCCTAGATTTAACAAAAATCTTGAACTTTGTTTTCCCTCTTTTAAGGAAAAAAAAGCACTGAGTAATTAAGGAGATGATTTTTACCAGGCTATTGCAATAGGAAGGACATTCATTAGTGAGGAACTTCTCAAAATAAAGGGAGAAATCCAAAGAGGCAGGTAAGCAAGGGAGTCATATTCACCGAGGAAAGGAAGAGGTGAGTCTTACCTCAGAATATATGAGAACAGGGTGGTCATTTCTCAAGACAAAATAGTGGGGAGATTTCTCCATTCTTGCTGCTTTCCAGGAATGCAGGGGCTCAGTTAAAGTTCAATATCATCAGTTGTTTTCCACTTCAATCAGTTAGCTCATAATGCTTTTTTCTTCCACAATGGGGCCAAACGTGGAAGAGAGATTTCACAGTCACTGAGAAAAACAATATTTTTGTTTTCAAAACATTGATACTTAATTTTTTGTAAGAAACATCAAACTACCTTTTATGACCAATCAGGTCATTTGAAGGGTGAGATACTACTTTTAATCCTGGATCAATACACTATAGAAATTTATTTTCTACAACAGTGCTTCAAAGGCTTCCTAGAAAATTGTGTAATCACTCTTTGCCTTAGCCAAGTAAAAGTAGATGAAGTTATAATGTCTTTAGCAACTCTCTTTAAACATATTTCCTATTGTGAGGCAATAAGACTTTCTGAAGTTCAGTCTTCAAGCCTGGGTCCTTTAAAAGTGACATATAGGTTCTAATCTTTCCAAGACAAAACTGAACAAGGCATCCTTAGAAAGGAAGTGCTGGCAGTCACATTCATTTCTTCTCTTCAGAGAACATTAATGCCAGTGTTTCAAGTGTTTTGTACTTTAAAGAAGTGTTATAAACACAAACGCATGAAATAAATTTTTAGAGCAATCACACCAGCCCAAAATAATTTAAAAAGTTTTGTTAATTAGGTTGTATCTTGAGTGAGATCATATTTAAATTAAATGGCGAATCAGTGTGAAAGGAGGCTTGCTCCAGCCCAGTCACCCTCCAAATACATTCAGATGCTGCGAGTCCAGTGTGGAGAAGTACACAGTGTGGGGTATGCACCCCATCCAAACCCTCTCTGCATCTGCATACAAGCCCTCTGCCAGGGGCTGAGGGGAGCCTTGAAAGTGGGGAGAGGGTGGGAGAGAAGTATGGGAAAGAAGACATCCTACTGGGCAGAAGGCAGATCTGTACGTGTCAAGTTCCAGTACATGCTCCCTTGTTCCAACAGACTTCACTTATAAATTAAAAGATTTCATTAAGAATTTCAAAACACATACATTAAACTCCAAAGGTGAGGCCGTGTGTCACCAGTACACCCTGGTTGGAAACTTGCAATCTGCTAAGGTTTGCCCTTCAGCTGTGGGTTGGGTAAAATGAATTACAGAAACAAAATGACTGACTTTTAATGGCTCTTTGGAGTAAATAAGTTGGGGACTGGAGAGTAGTTTGCTTCTTGTCCTCTGGAAGAGCTTCTAAACTCAATGGACTAAAAGCAAAAGATGGAAAAAATAAAGTACGTTAAGCAGTAAATTAGGAATACCATAGATTCTCGAAACCTCTTGGGCAAAATAATGGGCTATTCTCACTCGGTGACCCTCTTCCTCACTTTCCCGCCTCTTCTTTACAGGCATGACAGGCACTGTGTTTGTCTGAAGTGGTAATTAATACTTTTTGGCTTGCCATGCTGAGAAATTTGGATTATAATGACAAGAGCAGAGGTGTGCTCTTGATCCCCGTGCCCACTCTCAGCCTCCCCAATCCAAATTAGAGTCAAAAGGAAAGCCTTAGGCCTAAATTACTTAAATATAACTGCTTTTGTTCTTTGCTTATACAGCCACAGTAACAAAGAATTTCCAGGAGCCCTTTAAACCAGGATTCTCTCTCCCCACCGGAGCAAAGTGACATAAATTAAAGTTGACATTACAGTACAGAGTAGCAGAGATTGCCCAAAAGAATGCGATGGACCACCAGCTTCCTAAACTTGGGCAGCTCTTTTCTCCTCTCCCGGCTTGTTTCCCCATTCATTAAAGGAACAGGGTGTCCTAGAACACATCCTCAAATCCAGAGTCTCATCTCACCCCCAACTCAAAAGACAATGCAATCAATTCTTTTCCTTTAACACCAAAGAAAGAAATCTGTGGGCGTGAATTCCGAACACTCCTGGATACTAGGCGCCGGAAGCACCCACTCCCGTGGATCTGGCGTGGTTGGGGGCGGGAGCGTGTACGCACCGCACCGCCCCCAGCCGACATCGCCCCACCCACGGCCGACGCCTTTTCCCCGCCCCCAGCCGACACCGCCCAGGGCGATCGTGGGCACGTGCAAAAAGCCAACCCTGGTGAGTGGAGCGGTCGCGGCCCGCAGTCCAGCGCCGCGGCAGGCAGAGGTCGTGCGCGTCCTCCAAGCGTCCGAGCTCCGTTGCGGGTGGGGCGCACTCGGGTAGGGAGCTCGGGTGCGGCTGGGCCTGGGCCCGCGGGTGCTGGTGGTTGAGGAGCTAGGCACGCGTGCCAACTCGCCGCAGGATTTTGGGCACCCGGGCAGTGTGGACACGCTGAGCCTGAGGCTACCTGGATCCAGGAGTCGGCTCGCGAATGGCCTGGGCACCGAGCGTAGCCCACGTGCTCGGTCGGTGGTCCCGAGACTGCGGAAAGTTTGGAGATCAGGCTGTCTGGGAGCGCCGCCACCACGTGGGCTCTGCTCCCGGTCGTCACGTCGGGCCTAAGAGACAGGCTTTACATCTAGGGAATCTGAGGCCAAGGCGTGGGGAGCGGCGCCTCTCTCGTCGCACCCTGACTTTAAAATTACAGCCTACCCTTCCTGTTCATTTGTCAAAAGGTATTTCTAGAACGGCCGCCCGACAGCTGGGTTGTCCAACAGGTTAATAAGACCAGGTTGTTCACTGTGTTTTCAGGCGGTATAGTCCTGGGAGTCACAGGATCTTAATTACTCCACTAATTAGCTCTATATTCGATGCCAGGCCTAGATTGCACTGGGTTCATGTTTAAGTGGAGGAGTTGATTTACCCAGCCTCTTCCACCATCTCTTGGATGGATTTTGCTTCTCTGGCCTCATTTTTTGTAATGTAATGATTACTAAAATACATTAATAAGGTACAATTTTTTTTTTCTCTAAAATAGCACTAAAAAGATAATTGCCAGTCACAGCTTTAGGTCAATAGGAGACCCCGTTTTCCTTTTCTGAATTGATAAAACATTTCTGCGGGTGGAAAAGAACTGTTTTAGGTCAGCCTAGGCAACCTTGTTACAGGCAGTGTGTCATTTCAGATAGGAGTGTGTATGTATTTAATTGAGCTGAGTTTGACTATGGTGCTCTGCGTTAGTGCATCTAAAATTTCTGTAGAGAACATACTATTTACCAGAAGTGCTAATCCAGTAGGCTTGATCTGGGGCTCAGAAGTTTGTGTCATGTTAACAAGCCTTCTTGGTGACTGCACTGCACTGTAAAACATTGTTCTGGAGATTATGAAGACACATCTCCCTCCCCTTAGGTAATAACCACTGATGGTCGAGGTGCCTTTCAGTTCTGACTATACTTTTGAATACCCAAGGGTCAGCTGACATCAGAATAATCTCCACTGAATAAACCATCTGTTACCCAACTTTGTTTTTGCGTAAGGCTTTTGAGATTTTTCTCTAAAATTATATATAAGAGATGAAAAAGGGGAAAAAATTCATTCAGCAAACATTTCTTGATGGGACCTCCTATGTGCCACACTCTGGCTCTGGGAGATGCACATATAGCCATCTCTTCCCTTAACGTGTTATGACTTCTTATCGGTGAATATCACTATAGAAAAAGTTAGGACACTTATATTTGTTGGCTGTGGAATGGGTATCAGTATTGATTTTCTTGTTGTTTTAATCCTTCAAAGTTGTTTAGATTAGTTGATTTTTTTTTTATCCATGGGCAGTTAGTAAAATATGAGCCATGAATCTTTTCTTTGGACTTAATTATTTTACATTTTAATGCTTATAGTCACCTCAAATTGGACAATTGCTCTTTTACTTTTACCAATTGAAATACAATTGACGTATAACATTATGTTAGTTTTAGGTGTACAACATAATGATTCAGTATTTGTACATATTGTGAAATGGTATCAATTGCTTCTTAACAGCATGCTTTTGGACAATTGCTCTTTTACCAATTGAAATACAATTGACATATAACATTATGTTAGTTTTAGGTGTACAACATAATGATTCAGTATTTGTACATATTGTGAAATGGTAACAATTGCTTCTTAACAGCATGCTTTTTTTTTTCTCTGTGGCTTTATAAAAATATTTACTCTAATTTCTGTTTGGGTGGTCTGTGGTTTATAGACCGACTTTTGTTGACTGTACTTTTCTAGACAGCATTCTCTTGTTTAATTATCATATTTCTTAGATTCTGAGACATGCTTTTTTACTGTTTCTGAAATTGTGATGCATCTTAAGATTTTTGTACATTCAATTTGGTATGGTATGTCATTTGTTCTTCCCTCTAACCCGAAAAGCTGTTAAAAAGAATCGTCGTCTTACAATGTGGGTAGTGTGAGAATCAGAAAAAATAGTATATTTTCCCAGTAACCTCTAAGCTAGCTTCCAATTAACCGAGTCTCATATCATTTCAATGTGCATATAGAAAAACAATAAATGATATAGCTTTTGGTGTATTAAGTAGTGAAGTATACATTCTAACAAAAGCATTTGTTAGAATGTGTTGGGGTTTATTTTTTAGTGATTGTAGATAGGAAGAATGCTTTAAGTGATTTTATTTTTGGCCTAAGTATTCTGTGCACTTTAATCACACTTCCTGCAAATGTGTTTAATGTACTGTATTTGTATATGGTGCTTAAAACAAGCCTTTCACTTGCATACTCCTGCTGCTCCCATCCCTTAAATTTTAAACTGACCAATATGAGGGATAAGAAATGTGTGGCTGAATATGAAGTTATTTTTTCATCATATAGTACTTTTAATGATACAAGCCTTCTGAACTAGTCTGTGCTTTTAAAAATTAAATGTGAGTAAAGTGTAGGGGTTCCTAAAACCATCCCTAGGTTCAGTGATTTGCTAAGACTCAGCTGATTGATTACAGCAGAAGGAGACCAACTGCTTAATTGCTGCAGCAACTACACAGGCACCAACCAGGAAAGTTCATTAGATACTCAACGCCCAGGTGTTTTTTTTTAATTAAATTTTTTTTTTAATCAAGGGCTGGTCACCTAGACACCCTCTGCTTGGCACTACCAAAATTCCAGACTCCCAGAAGGAAATTGGATGTTCAGTATAAATTACATTGCTTTCATAGCTTATGAATAATGAGTCACTCTTATTTAATGATGGTGGGAACGCTCCAAAAATCGAAGTTCCCAGATGTCAGCCATAAGCTGGCCTTTCAGAGGATAGCAGGTAACTTTTATGCACAAGCAGTGCTCTTTGCTAATCTGCTTTCATATTTGGGTTCCAAGTACTAACAGTACTTTGTCTCCCCGAAGCCATGATTCTTAAGGTGACAAATGAAAACTTAAAAGGAATGTGAAACATTTTCAGAAAATTTGTGTCTTATTGATGACATCCTAAAACACTAAAGTTTATTTTTTTCTAAGCTTAAGCCCTTACCCCTCCAACGCAAGCTTTTAGTATTGATTTTTATTAGTTTTCCACCATGGTCTTGTGTTTTCCTGCCAAAAGCACTTGATCAGAGCTATTTATGGATACAAATTTAGGAGGTAAAATGAGGCCACTAGGTAGTTTTATATTTTGATGTTCCCACTTCCTAATTTGTTCAATTTATATTTGGATTGTATTTTAAATGTTCATTTATAAATTTGTTGTAATGTAACACGTTCCAGGGTGCTTACTTTCCAGGTTATACCACTAATTCTACTTAGTCCATGGTGTAGTTGAAATACAGCTTAGTTATAATGACAAAGGAGCAGAAAGCAGTATTCTTGAAATTCTGATAGCCCAACAAAATAGGAAACTATAACACCTATAAATGAGTTACTGGTCTCGGGAAAAAATGATCTTTATAAGTACAGGTTTTTATTTTTTATTAAAATTGTTGGGGTGACATTAGTTAATCAAATAAGTTTCAAGTATACCATTCAACAATATGTCATATATATTTTGCATTATGTTCACCACCCAAAGTTAAATTTCCTTCCATCACCATATATTTGACCCCCTTTACCTTTATCTACTTCTCCCTTCCCTTATTCCCTCTGGTAACCACTAATCTACTGTTCATGTCTGAGTCTGTTTGTCATGTTTGTTTGTTGCTTTTAGTTTTATATCCCACATATGAGTGAAATCATATGGTTCTCAACTTTTTCTGTCTGACTTATTTTGCTTTGCATGATTATCGCAAGATCCATGCATGTTGTGGCAAATTGCATTATTTCATCTTTTCTTAAGGCTGAGTAATATTCTGATGTATATATGTGCCACATCTTCTTATCCAGTGATCTGTCGTAGGACACTTCGATTCTTCCATGTCCTGGCCACTGTGACTAATGCTGCTGTGAACATCAGGGTGCATATATGTTTGCGGATAAACATTTTCAAGTTTTGGGGGTAAATACCCAGAAAAGGGATTACTCGGTCATATGGTAATTCAATTCTTAGTATTTTGAGGAACCTCCATCATGTTTTCCATAGTGGCTGTACTAATTTACATTCCCATCAGCAGTGCAAGTACACTTTTCCCCCTACAATCTCTCCGACACTTGTTATTACTTGTCCTGTTGATAGCCATTCTGTGGTATCTCATTGTGGTTTTGATTTGCATTTCCCTAATAGCTAGTGAGGTCGAGCATCTTTTCATGTCTGTTGGCCATTTGTATGTCTTCTTGGGAGAAGTGTCTGTTCAGGTCTCCTGCCCATTTTTTGTTTTTTTATTGTTGAGTTGTATGAGTTCTTTATATATTTTTGAATAGTAGGCCCTCATTGGAGCCACTGTTTGCAAATATCTTCTCCCATTTGGATGGCTGCCTCTTTGCCTTGTTGGTTTCTTTTGTTGTGTAGAATCTTTTTAGTTTGATATAGTCTCATTCATTTACTTTTGCTTTACTTCCCTTGCCTTTGAAGTCAAATTCATAAAATTCTCACTAACTCCAAGGTCCATGAGTTTAGTACCTGTTTTCTTCTGTGCAGTTAATTGTTTCAGGTCTTCTCTTCAGGTCCTTGATCTGTTTTGAGTTAATTTTGGTGTGTAGTGATAGACAGCCATCTAGTTTCATTGTTTGTATGTGGCTTTCCCATTTTCCCAGCTCCATTTATCGAAGAGGCTTTCCAGAGACTCCTTTAAGAATCTGGTGAAAGCAATGGACTCCACCTCCCCCAATATATTTTAAAATAGAAATTTGCAGTTTCATGAAATTCATATAATTTGAATTACCATTCTTGAATCCCAGACGAGGGCCACCTGTATTATTAGTTGAGGCTTGGGGGCAGTTCTGAGAAGGCTTAAAAGTGCTTGGGAGTGTTGCTCTTCCTGCAACTCAGGTGTGGTCTGTGGACCAGCAGCAGCAATATTGCCTGGGAGCTTGTTAGAAATGCAGAATCTCAGCCTTACCGCAGATCTGGATGCCCAGGTGACGTGTGTGCACATTCAAGATGGAGGAATGCTGTATTAGAGGTTAATGATGTAGAGGTATTTTATTATGTCTTGTTATAGTTTGAAAGTTATAGCTTTTTAAAGACTTGGGATAGAATTATCTCTAGCCTTCACTTGCCAGCCTCAAATTAGTTTGGTTTTTTAATGGAAGAGGGATTTCTGATAAAGTAATTTTCAGGAATAAGCTGAGATTTGGAAGTGAGGAGGTTCAGGTGGTTGAGGAAGAGACTTGGGAGTAGGCAGCTTCTTGCTCCAGCCACCAGGTGGCACCATGGCCCAGGGCATGTTGAGTGTGGCTGTGATAAGGAGCCCCTGGCAATGGGCAGCTATTGATAATTCTAGAGGCAAGTTTGTAACTCAGAGTACAGTCTAATTAGATTTGGGACCTGGTGTTGATTGAAGCCAAATTAAAGATTTTTGACTTTGCTATGTCAATGACCACAGGCTAAAACTGTGACTTGGAACTGCTAAGATAGTGGAATTCCTTGATTTTAAATCATTATACTTACTAATAAACAGTGAATTCCACAACTTTTGTGTTCTTGTAAAAGGAAATATGCTTTCCTTTTAATGAATATTTAATCTGAGGCTGAGTCATATTTTGGAAGAAATGATGTTGGCTTAAGGCTGCATCACATCCTGGAGGAAAAGGCATTGACTTACGAAGAGTTCTCACGAAGGCGTTAATAGTGATGCAATTGTGTGTCTGTGCACGCACCTGTGTGTGTGCGCATGATCTTTTAACACCAACATATGTTCTTTGTTCTTTTGGTAGGTTTGCATTTCCTCGCTGCTTTGTCTCGGAGACAGAACGATGCCAAAGAAAGCAAAGCCTGCAGGAACTGAGAAGGAAGAGGGGCCTGGTCCCTGTAAACAGCCGAAGGTGGAGGCAGCTGGGGGACCCTCCACTTTAAACTTTGACAGCCCTAGTGTCCTCTTTGAAAGTTTAATCTCACCCATTAAGACGGAGACTTTTTTCAAGGAATTCTGGGAGCAGAAACCCCTTCTTATTCAGAGAGATGACCCTGCAGTGGCCACATATTACCAGTCCCTGTTCAAGCTATCAGATCTGAAGAGTCTGTGCAGCCGGGGTATGTACTATGGAAGAGACATAAATGTCTGCCGGTGTGTCAATGGGAAGAAGAAGGTTTTAAATAAAGATGGCAAAGTGCACTTTCTTCAGCTGAGAAAAGATTTTGTTCAGAAAAGGGCAACAATTCAGTTTCACCAGCCTCAGAGATTTAAGGTAACAGGTTCTCCCCATTGCAGCATCCTTCTATGTATTAAAGTGCTAACATTTGGCCATAGATCAACTCAGGAATGAACCTGGGGTTTGATGATGATTTGCCTCCTGCCAGCTTGAGAAGAAATAGCACCTGTTTGGTCTTTAAATGCATTCCAAACTAGGAGATTCTATGTTATCCTTTGGCTAAATTGTTAGAAAATGTCCAACATTCAGGGTGGACATGGGTGTCACTGAACTGCAAAAACTAAATTATATTGCTGGTTAACAAAGTTTATTAAAATAACAGTATGCCTCCAGAGGTATGTTTTGTGGGCTGATTTATATTTTGGTATATGGTAGACATTTCTGTTTGTCCGTCATTATAAGTTAAGACATGATAGCATCAAGGTGGTCATTTTCTTGAGGTTGCCTCCCTTTATTGCCTGCATCTACCTAAGTAGAAGCTTCAGAGCCATGATTGGATCACATACCAGATGTATGTTCAAGAAAAAGATTTCACCCTTATCAACAGCAGCCCACCCGTGTGGCTGTGAGGGTCTGGCCCTGCAACTGCTCCTGGGTTAGCAGTCATATGTGTAGGGTAGCTTCGATTTGCAAGTCTGGAAGACTAACTTTTTATTTTTCTACGTCATTGAATACTTGGTAATTTGCCTCCTCTGTGATCTGTTTTTACATTTATAAAATGCAAACTCAGGAAAACTAATCTGCTTTTGAAGAGGTCTGAGATCTTTACATGACAAGTAGCCCCACACAATTGACAGCCTATTCTGAGTTTTAGTTTTATCCTCATTTAGAATTCTCCTTCTGTGACCCATAGCTGAATCAACATGGCAGCATGGGAGGAGAAGGAGAGCAGTTCATGAGGTTCCATATTGGAGGGGTAGATTCTGACTATGTTGGTGGCTCCTGGGACTTTGTCATCAATAATAATGAGATACCAATAATGAGATACCAATAATATATCTCATGACTGAACTCAAGAGTTGCTTTGTTAGATCCCATTTTGCCTCATCTGATGAATAATCTGGTCTGGTAAATGATTCCTTTTCTAGTCTAAAGGATCCTGAACCTATTCGTACTCTGGATAAAGTTTAAGTAGTTTTAGATTTTTCAGTGCAAGTCCTGATTTCAGATATTTCATCTCAAGCAATAATGTGAAGTTGAAATGTCCATGGAATGCCAGCCTTTTGGCTTAGGCACCCAAAAGGAATTTATAAATCACTTGCCAGACTAAGATATGATTTTAATTTAGAAAATATGGACACCATGGTGCTTCTCTCTGAGTCAGTCCTTGACTCTTTACCCGGCCAGAAGCAGAACTTTTTAAAAGAATGGGTTTTAGACACCTAAGAACTATGAACAGAAAAGTTAAGTGAAGTTAATTACATGTAATTTGATTATAGACCAGTAGAAAGTTATTATTTGGCATATATGTGATGTCCTTTGTGGCTGTCATTTCTGTATTTTAGAATCCTCTTGAATTTTTCTCTACTTATCTACTTAAGCCCTGTACATTCCTCTTCCCTGATTCCAGGTGATTGAGAATGTATTTCCTTTGCCCTGTGGACTCAGATCTTTGACCATATTTATTAAAGCAGGAAGGATGAGCTTTCTCCATCTAAACTCAGTCCCCAGGCTAGACTAGGATGCACTCTGGTTTTTTTGTTTGTTTGTTTTGTTTTGTTTGGTCTTTCCATGGCCTGTATTGAAAGACCTTTGAGCTGTAGGAACTTACCCTCTTATACTAGAAGTTGGGTTCTAGTATTAGTGGGTCTCACAATATGCACAGCTTATTCTAGTTAATCTGGAAATGAGTTAACCAAGGCTCTATATGTTGTCCTTCACCTGCTTTATGTAATCCATATAATGTCTTGGGTAAGCTTACCAAATACTTACCCATGTGGTAACTTTTGAACCTTCCAAAAGACATTTGAAATATGGCAGTCATTGTGGTCTCTGTGAAAAAACGAGTTCACAGATGTGACTTTTCCACAGCTACTAAGTGAAGACTTCTGACTCCACATTTAAGGCATTTTCCTATTATTAAAGATGTTAATTGAAAGGGAGGACTTTTGGCATGTTTATTTTTGCCTTCCTTTAGGCATATACATGGGCTTTGGTCTTAGCTATGGCATTTGGTTTTGACTCTGTGAGTAGTTCAGTGGAGAGATGAGGTTGTGGCCAACCAGGAGACAGCCTTCCATTTCCCCTTTTTCATTGTTTTGGGGTCCTCTGGGATCTGCCTTGGCATCTCTGGACATAGTTGGGTGTCATAGGTTAAAGAAGAATACAGTTTTCAGGAGCCTTAATTGTGCCTAAGTCAGCATCAGTGAAGCAGTAACACTTATGTACTGCTCTGAAATTTAAATAAGATGGGAGATGTTATTTTATGCTGTCCCCACAGTCTTAGGGTGGGAGTCTTCATTTTACAAATTAAGAAGCTGAAGTCACCTAGCTTGTAACTATAACTTGGACTGAGATGGTTTAACTCCAGATCTCTTTGTAATAGACCACACTTGGCAGATTCAGAAGATAATCTGATAGGGTTTTCGGTATCATTTAAGAAGAAAATATAAATATGCTTATCAATTACGGACCCAGATGCTTGAGTTGAAAGCCCTAAGCTGTCACCCATTTTGTCCTGAGATACCTCTCAGGCCACAGAGAAGAGAGAAGCCCTGGTTTTCCAGTGGTTCCAGTCACCATATAAATGTTATGACAGAGTTAGATCTTGCTGGCCCCTCCCTGGTATAAATTAGAACTCCTTGGGAGCTCTAAGTTCAGATGTCATTAAATTCTTTCTGTGTTAAATAGAACCCCTGAGCCTTGAGATTGTAGAGTAGTCCAGTGGGCTTTATAAAGCTGTCTCAAGCTTTCCCTATACTGACCCCATTCTTTCTCACATGGTGTTTTTAATCTGTAGATCCCTTTTCAGTTCAGTGGTAGGATTAACTCCCAAGCTGTGGTCATTGGTTTACCTAACAGATATTTTAAATATGTTTAGTGTTTTCTGTGTATTGGTCTCTGTACATTCATATGCCTGAAACTGGGCTCTTCAGTGTACTTTGACTTGTTTTTCTTAAAGATAATTACTTTTAGAGGTGATACAGAGTTCTGGTTAAAAGTATGGACTCTGGAGCCAGCTTCCTGGATTTGAATCCTGGCTCCATCATTCAGGGAAAATCAGGTTTCTTTCTCTCTTGCAAGAACGTATGGCTCCTCCTCAATCTGACTTATACCCTGAAGAGCTGATGAGTGACTGGAGAGAGGGACCTTATCTCTACCCTTTTTCTTTTCTGTCTATATCCTCTTCTTGTGTTATCATGTCTGCTCCCATTGCTTTTAACTACTGGTTTTGTGCAGAGAATTCCCAAATGTAAATCTGTAGCCCTCACTTCTTGCCAGAACTTGACTTAGCCAGAAGCTTACTTAAAAACATCACCACATGAGTCATAGCAGCTCAAACTTAATATTTCTAATATAGAACACTTGTTTTATCCTCTGAAAACTTGTTCTTTAGCAAGTCTTTCCCATTTCAGTAAATGGAATTGAGAGCTAATTGTCCAAGTCAAAAGCCCAGGAGTATTTTTTTTTACTCTTCCCATTCCCTTACCCCTTTGTATTTAGTCCATCAACAAGTCCTGTCAGTGCTAAGTGCTACTTCCACAGTACATCTTGACCTTTCTACTTCCCTCTCTTCCTACCACCTGCTCATTTCTTGCCAGGTCTACTGCCTTAGTAGCTTCCCGACTTATCTCTCTTGCTTTTCTACATTTCATTCTCCACACAGGAGTCAGAGTGAGCTTTTAAAAATGTAAATTGATTCATGTCATTTTCCTGCTTAAAATCCTCCATGACTCCACCCACACCAGATCGCCAACCTCGCCAATCTTGCTTATGTGCTCACATCTTTTCTGTGGCATCTACAGTAGACCAAATGCTTGAGGCAGAGGTGGTGGTTCCTTCATTGTTTAATCCTCAGTATCTGGAACGTACTAGCCATGCAGTAAAGACTTGCTAAGCAAATAAGAACATGTTACTTTTCTTATTGCTAATATATTTTTCACCTCCCTTCCTCCCTCCCTCCCTC